CTTTGACTGGAAGCATCCCTAGGTGGTGGGAATTCAAAATTGTACAAATGATAGGGCTGACTCCACAGGGGGCTGAAGGGCGGGGCCAAAAGAGGGCAATTTGGCTATACTGCTTTAAGCGACTTCTTCCCTGGAACTTAGAGATGGATATCGACCATATTTGACTGGAAGCATCATAAGGTGGTGGAGATTCAAAATTGTACAAATAATTGGGCTGACCCCCAGGGGGCTGAGCGGCGGGGCCAAAAGGGGGCAATTTTGCTATGTTGCTTTAAGTGACTTCTTCTCTAGAACTAAGAAGTGGATATCAACCATATTTGACTGGAAGCATCCCTCGGTGATGGGGATTCAAAATTGTACAAATGATAGGGCTGACTCCACAGGGGGCTGAAGGGCGGGCCAAAAGAGGGCAATTTGGCTATACTGCTTTAAGCGACTTCTTCTCTGGAACTAAGAGATGGATATTGATCATATTTGGTCGGAAACATTCATGGGAGGCCGGGATTCAAAATTGTACAAATGGTGGGGCTGACCCGCCGGGCTAAGGGGTGGGGCCAAAAAAGTGTATTACGTGGAAATAGTTGAGATCCCCACCATATAACCATGGTATACAATTGCTGAGTATAAAGAGAAGATTGCTCATTTGATTTCAGGATAGCACTAGGGTCTGGCCCCGCCCTTGGAGACATAGTCCCTGGGCCATAACTTTAAAACTGTTGAGATCCCCACCCAAAAACTATATATACAAATGCTGGGCATAAAGAGACGAATGCAGTCATGATATCAGAATAGACCCTGGGGTCTGACTGAACCCCTAGGGACCTAGTTTCTTAGTCACAGCTTGGAAACAGCTGAGAGCCCCACCCTAAAACCGTATATACAATTGCTGAGTATAAAAAGATGATTGCGCATATGCTTCCAGGATGGCCTTAGGGACTGCCCCACACTTGGAGATTTAACCCCTGGGTCATAACTTTGAAATTGTTAAGATCCCTACCCCAAAACTATATATACAATTGTTGGGCATAAAGAGACGCATGCAGTCATGATATTAGAACTGACCCCAGGGTCTGCCCCACCTTTGCAGACTCAACCCCTGGGTCATAACTTTGAAACGGTTGAGATCCCCACCCCAAAACTATATATACAAATGCTGGGCAAAAAGAGACAAATGCAGTCACGATATTAGAATTGATTCTGGGGTCTGGCCACAACCCTAGCTAGGGACCTAGTTTCTGAGTCAAAGCTTGGAAACGGTTGAGATCCCCATCCCATTACCATACATAAAATTGCTGGGCATGACAAAATATAATACTGTTATGCTACAAGGATTGGCCTTGGGGTCTGGCATATTCCCTTGATCTCATTTGGAGAATATTTTGCCATGATTGCTAAGGTATCCAGGTGAGCGATACAGGCCCTCTGGGCCTCTTGTTAAGACTTTGAGCTTATAATATAAGGGCAGGATTTTACGGTTGCTGATCATTGATTCTGATAATGATCCCACCAACCAAAGTGTTGTTGTCTCTAGCTTTGGACGGTATTGTAACTAGGCCTGTTTGTTCTGATTCGGGTCCCGACCTTGATGTTGGAAATCTTTCAGGATTTGTTATTTTGGACAAAAGCCTTTTGAGCGCTGACCAGGGTCTGTGGCTATTGCTGACAGATCTTTCTCAAGTTTCACATATCAGTTTCGAAATTGCAAATTTCATTTTGGGACTGATCGGAAAAACAAATGACTGCCAGGCAGTCATCTCAGATTAGGAGAGTTCGTTCTTTCTCAAATAATAAACTATGAAGACTGACCTCATGTTGAAAGGACATTATCAACTCTAGCAGTATAGACATTTAATCAAAATTTACCGCAGGATTCATTTGCTGTTGACAAGACTATCAATCCAGATAATTGATAAGAGAAAGGTTGAAGGGAAAATATCAAAATTACATAGAACTTATAAATATCTTATGATGGTGGGTGCCAAGATCCATATTGTGTCAATACTAGCAGTGCATTCTTGTAATAAACATACGTCAAAGTTTGTCTTTAGGCCTGGTTAGGCACAAAGCCTAACTCACATGTAGCTATTATAGATGGAAGGTGTTAATAATTTCGTTCTTGAGCTCACAAAGCCTAATTTTTTTATCTGAAGGTACCTTCAATGGAGTGCCATATAGTTACTTATATAAACTATCTGAACATATTTCAAGGTCACGTGGTCAATCAAATATGTTAAAAACTTTGTGAAGAACAATAAGATCTAGAACTATGATACCTGATATGTGAAGTAGACACATGTTTTTTCTTAGTCCATGGAGTTCATGGGTCATAGCTTGGAAACGGCTAATTTCCACCATATAGCCATATAGGTTTATTGAGCAGGAAGAAAAACACTCAATAATGCTACCAGGATTAGCCTCGGGACCCCGCTTTTGTGGCATGTTTTATTCTGACAAACTGGTTTGTTATTTTAATGTTTTTGCAGGAATAAACCTGGCGGACCTTCAATTGTTACCGGAAGCCTTGAAAGTCTTCACCAAAGCTCGCCAGAAAGCATTATCAGGTGATACGGTCCCTCCCAATATCATGATGAACAACTCGGGTCCAACCGTTTCGAATGCAATCAACCTACGAGGACTTCGGTCGTTACATGGAAAGGATTGATACTTTAACCATATATATGAACACATACATCTTCGTATACATTTAATGGGGAGATACAGTGACCATTGGTGAAAAATGGCATTTTTTTCAGTGGTAAAATTCAAGAGCAATGGGTCACGTAACGCATTTTTTTTTTGTGCCCAATGGTTTCATTGATGAACAAACAATTAACAAAATCGTGTTTTTTCTCAACAAATGCTTTTTAAGAAGAAAAGGAGAGTTTTTGTAATAGTTTATGGTTGCATCGCTGTAGCTTACAGTCGCATAAAAAGGAACTTCAGGCTTCACTGAGTTAGTGCAGAAAAAACAAAACCACTCATGTAAAAGAGTTAGAGCACAACGGTAAGGTCCAGGCATATTCTGTTTAACATAGTATTCTGGTTTTAAATCTTTCTTGTATTTCCTGTACGTCCGCAAATTGTTTCCATTCACAAGGCCACGATCGCCCAAAAGTTGGCCGTACAAGTCACTTTCGTCCTTCTGTCTTACATTAGTATAAATGACATTTAAAGTGTGGGCAGTGGGTGTGACTCCGGATTCCAAAATATTACGTAGATGATACTTTTCGCTCAGCCGAAGTGCTCGCGCGTCTCACGAATTATGTCTCCGCTTCGACCAAACATGAATTTTTATAATAAACGTCCGTGATCAATAGAATTAACACGGCAATATAGACGAAAAGCTTCAGTCCTTTGGTTATTAAGGGTAGATAACCATCCCATATCTCCAATAACGCCAGCATTCGATGTATTTTTTGTCGCACCCATGAACACCTTCATAGCTCAATTCTGAACATTATTAATTACTTTACGCTGAGATTGACCACATATGGCAGAACAATATAATAGAACAGGTTGCACAAGGCTTTCATACAACTTTGTAAACACAGCGTAGGTCATTCCACCAGCACAGTAAAACGCCTGAAATGCACAATCTTGGTCTTTCCAGCGTTTACAGATAGTCGCCAGCGGGAGCATCAAGATAACACGATGCTAAGAAGGGCTTGGAGGTTATCCTCTGATAACGTCAACAACACAATGTCGTCAGCATAAAAAAGACAACTTAAACTGACACCGTCAATGTCAATACCATGTTCTGAAGAGTTTAGCTCTTCACTTAAGTCATTAATATAGATTACCAAGAGTATCGGGGAGGCTTAACAACCTTGTTTTACACCACGTGACACAGACAGCCAATCAGTATGCAGATTGTTGACGCGTAGACAACATGAAACACCGTTGTACAGTGCAAACACAGTTTGCGCCTTTTATACCAGACTGTACAAGCTTATACCACAAAGTCTCTGACGACCGTATCAAAGGCTTAACGTAGGTATATAAAACACGAAAACATCGGTTGATGATATCACAATAAACCTTACAGGGAACGGACAACAAGGTTATACCCCGATAGGTTAATGGATCTATAGGGTCAGGGCTGTTTGTTTTTTTGCGATCGGATTGATCAAACCTTGTTTCCATTTATGCAGAACATAGTTAAAACAATGACTAATTAATGAAAACATAATATCCACACAAGCGTCGTTTTTGAGCACTTCCGCTGGAATATTGTCGATACTTTCAGCTTTTCTAATTTTTGTACGCCGTAGTGCTTCCATAACCTCCTGACGTTGAATCGGTGCGTTAAGGACCGAAATATCCAGATTATGCTTTAATGGAACTGTGTCTTTTGCAGCACGCTCCTTAACCATATCATAATGTTCCTTGTAATACATTGGATTTTCCTGTTCCGTCGCGTACAGGCTCTCGTAGTCCGCTCGCAAACGCTTGAGGACATCTTGCGTGTCAGTAATAATATGTAATGTCCAGGTACACCTTCACAATGTTGTAAAAACACTGGTACTTGTCTTACTGTGTTAGTTCATATAAACGTCTGTGATGTCCAGGTACGCCTTTATCACGTTGTTACAACACTGGTACTTGTGTTTCTGTGTTAGTTCATATATAAATCTGTGGTATCAAGGTACACCTTCACAATGTTGTTATAACACTGGTACTTGTCTAACTGTGTTAGGTCATATATACGTCTGCGATGTCCAGGTACTCCTTTATCATATTGTAACAACACTGGTACTTGTCTAACTGTGTTAGTTCATATAAACGTCTGTGATGTCAAGGTACACCTTTATCACGTTGTAACAACACTGGTACTGGTCTTACTGTGTTAGTTCATATATACGTCAGTAGTGTCCAGGTACTCCTTTATCACGCTGTAACAACACTGGTACTTGTCTTACTGTGTTAGTTCATATATACGTCTGTAGTGTCCAGGTACTTCTTTATCACGCTGTAACAACACTGGTACTTGTGTTTCTGTGTTAGTTCATATAAACGTCTGTGATGTCCAGGTACTCCTTTATCACGTTGTAACAACACTGGTACTGGTCCTACAACAGAAGCATTTTCTTTGTAAGAGAAACGATTGTAACATGAATAATTGTGTATTGATAAATTATTTTATCATTACATTTTTTTGTACCGATAAGGCCAATTTTCATATAAAAGATACAATAGATTGATTGTTTTCAATGAGAAAAACAAATTTATTGAATGTTAATTGTTTTTGAGTTTCTTTGAAGCGTGCTGATAATCTTACCAATTAGGCATTGGTAAAAAATAACGAATAACGATTAAACGCGAACGCGTTTTTATTCGTGTACATTTTATTACAGTAGCAACATAATTGTATTTGTATTAATTATAGTTGTGATTTCAATGAATGAATTAAAAAAATGAATGTATTAAAAATATATATATATATATATATATATATACAATACATGTTTATGAATATTTGATATTCAATGAATTTTTAAAAAATGCCGTTAGAACAGTAAAAAGACAGCTGTAGGAAAGTAGTTTACATCTGGTATATTCATTGCCATCATTCCAAAAATATTTATCTTCTTTTACAGCTCCCATATTCCAACAAATAAACCCTAATTCAACACGACCTGGTTTCCAAATCACTATGAAATTTCATTGATATCTTACTCACATAGTTGGTGATGAATTCCGGACGTCTAAAAAGCAATTGTCTAGATATCTGAAACATGTCGACCTCCTCGTCAATCTTCATTTGGTCTCTAGCATTGCTGATACAGCAAAATAGTCCGCTCTGGGAATAACCGTCTCTGAAGAAGTAAATACGGCAGAAAAATAGTTAACAGTTTCCCTTATGTAACAGTAGAACCCTATGTATTCCATATATGAAAACTTTTCTTACTGGATTTTTGAGTGTATAGATCGTTTTCATCTATGATATAAATACTGTTTTCATGTGATATCATTTAAGCATATTTCATTAACAAATTAACTACAATTCAAATGGGTTATACAGCGCCTTTTAAGTCATCTTACGTGCCATCCTGTGGTAATGTTGTTTTCTTACTGTAAAGGGGAGGCGAATCCTATTTATTGTTTTTCAACTAAATTATAACGGGAAGGGAATAGCAAGGTTTTCTTCAAGTTTGTTATTTTGCCAATTGTACTGTCATAATCAAGCATACTTATGTCTTGTGAAGAATGATACAATATGTTGTTCCTATTTCTTTGTCTAGAACGAACGCATCATACACAAATAGTGTTACCAAGTCGTCGTAAAGTATGATGACAAGGTGATACTTTACTAGTTAAATAAGAGACAATTTAATTATTGACCTTTCCCATTAGTTGAAGGATATTTTTGCTATCTAGGACCAACCGATAGTATTAACATAAAACATCTTTAGGTAGATAAAAGTAAGGGTACCAGTCATACCTAATTTAGGGATATTCAGGCTTAATGTTTGACCAATATATAGCCCTCCTAATTCAATATTTACTGGACAAAATCAAGTATTTGAATTGTAAGTTTATTATATTGTGCTCAATGATTGGTTATTTATATAAGTAATAAGACGTTTATTCCATACCTGCACATAACTACTGTTTTTTTCGAGCCATTTGATTTTCTTCTGCTGTCAACTTGTTCTAGAAGCTGAAGGAGACCTGGGACATCCGGCGGGACTGACACGTGTCTATCCCAACCAGTCATGTGGAACACCCTGACTCTGGCATCATATCTCTGGTCCTGGAATAACCCGATTAGTGATTAAATTACAGTTCATGTGCAGTTAAAAGAAAATTAACAAATTTACTTTGCCGTTTATAGGAAATTAAACAACAATATTACAACGTTGGAAATTGGGATATATTGGCTGTACTGAAAAAAACCCATAATATATATATATTACCAATATTTCACCAACATCAGACACTTCCATTATTTTCCCACAACCATCATGCTTAAGTCTTTAGATACCTTAACTGCCGACCCAGACTTTTTTTTTTTACAAACTTTGTCCCATCGCATGGTGATGTGTTTTTTCAATTAGCATAATATGTACGCTGTATACGACAATGTTCTGCTTTCTTTCCAAGTAAAAATCTACCTGGCAAATAATTATAATCAAACTAACAAGCATGCTGATGCATGTTATGATTAAGTATGAAAGCAAAACAGTATTTTAAAATGCCGTTCATTGTAGGTCGTAGGTCGTCTCAAAGCGGTTCACACATTTTTGTCCGTGTTTATATATGGCCTTTGCAACCAGCCAATATCTTTCTCAACTCCGCGGGGATCATACAGCCGGTGCTGCCATTTCGGCGCTCACAGCTAGCATTCAACAATGTTAGCACTGCCCAATAACGTACTCATTTACAGCTGAGTAGACAAGAACAAGCGGAGTAAAGTATCTTGCTCAAAGATACAACAAAGTGCCGTGACGTGACTCGAACCCGCACCCATTCGGTCACGAGCCAGGCGTCCTACCACTAGACTACCGTGCCTCCGCGTTAACTAACGATGAATGAAAGAATGTCTTACTTGATTAGAGATCGCCACATCCATCAAATCTATATTAGCCAGAACTGAGGATCCTCCTTCATGCGTCAGTTGGAAGGATCCGATTGTTATACCCTTTCCTTCTTCTGGCAACCATTTCTATGACAGAAACAACTCATTACTAAAGCTCTTATCAGTAACTAGGAGTTTAACTCGGACCGACATATTTGATGAATATTAAACATTATCATGAACATATTTTTTTTAAGAATGTCAAGTTTGAAGAAGAAAAAAAATGATTGGATGTAGTAATTAATTTTGTTTATTAGACAGCATAGAAAGCAGTTTGTTAATATAATTTAAGTAAAGATTTGTAAGGTAGTTCCACTAAATCAAAAGATTATAGACTTACGACGTGATCGTTTTCAATGATAACGATGGTATCACAACTGTGGTCCATTATCATTGTCATCAGATCAACCACGGTGTCCTCTAAAGGAGTTTGAGTAACTATGTAACCGGTTCTGGACGTGTAGGACTGGAAGAAACATAATACAGTCTACAAACTAACGGTATATAGCCGTTCAAAGAACCATGTTTAAGTGTTTTATTTGTACTTGGTATTAAAGGAGGGCAGATTCCAAACAGAAAGAAAATCATGCCCTTATAACTTTCAAGTTTTTCAACAATCTATTGAAAAAACTTGTTACACGATTCCGGCAACATTAAACACAATCAATACGTTTTGACCATTTATACCACGTTTGCCTCTTAGCTATCGGTACGATACGTGTAATTTTGGTTTTGAATTGATCGCTAACATGTCAAATTATCCTTATGTATTGTAACCACAAAATAAAACCCTTTGTATGATCTAACAAAACGACGTTTTTGTGATATTGTATTAGTATAAATAATAGAAAAAATACACCAATCATGACAGATTAACTAGTTCTCCACACAGATAGCATTACTATGTTATGCGTGATACCATTTCCTTATGATAACCCCTCGTTTTCTATGATACATTTTGAAAGTAACGTAATTAGACGTGTTTAATTCAAGCTGTACACATGAACACACGATTGTATAAATAAATACAAGTCATCAAAATGTTTTAACGAAATCATATTTACAGGAACTGCCACGGCGTTGATATAATTTGTTCTACCAGAAGAGGCTGAAGTCAGGTAAGGTCTGAATTTATCAACTGAAAAACAAAATGACCAACCATATATCATTTGCAAAATGTGTTCAACTGTTTTCATGCAAAACGTCTATGAATAGATTAAAATTGACTACATATTTTTCATTTGATTGAAACAACAGATTGAGCTGTGTGAAACTGTACCAATAACATACCTGCTAAGACATTTGGGTCCCTGTTCTTATTCCTATTAGTGGGAAGAACTGCTGTTTTAAAGTCGCTTTGAGTATACGTTGGCTTCAGCTCTTGTGTCACCTAAACAATGCATCGAATTGAGAAATAATAATCATGACTAAATAAAGAAAAAGTGAATAAATAGAAAATGGTGAAGACAATTCTACATTTTATACTACATTTTATACCTAGTATAAAATCTCGTAACAGTGTACGTGCACAGAGATATATATCTATTTGAGTTAAACAAAACAAAATATAACGGAGGAGGAGGATGGATATGGAAACCCTAATTAAAGGAATGTTCAATATCAAATACATATTTGTCTCTCGTTTTAGTGTTATGAGCCTACTCTGAAATGGTTTTCAATAAAACATTTCGACAATAGTAATTGTACTTGTTAATGTGCCCTGTGGCATCCCGGTCCTTGATTTAATGACGTAACATTTCCCTGTTTAGACATAGATTTACATGGCTGGGTTGTCGTTGAGGGGGAAGGCACGTATTATTACGGAACAATTAGCCTTATACTTTTCGTTCTTTCAAAGGTCTCTCTCCAAGTTTTCCCCTTGAATATAGTCTGCCCTGGTTTATCGAATTATAATTACGGGTTTGTTCACTCTTTGGTATTTGGTATTTGCTTTATTATAACCTACAAAAATTTGATGATGGGATATTTTGTCTGAATTAATTTCTGAATAATCCAAGATGGATACTCTTATCCCCCTACAAAATGTATATATAATTCATTTTTTGATTTACAAAAATCATCAAAGTAGAGGAATCAATTGGGATGATTAGCTTTGCTTAACAGGTTTTACTCCTCAATAAATAAAGTTTATTATCAGTTAACATAAAGCATATATTACGCTCAATTGTCACGCGACCGCTTTCTATATGAAAACAATATCAGTAAAAGTATTTTCCGGTAAATAATTTTGACTGTGTCTTGAACACTCTGGTCAATCGAAAGAAGCTCGTAATATCCAATCAGATTAACCGGTTAATACATTTCACTATTGCCTGGAAATCGGTGAATTCATCAGGTTGTACAAAATAGGGACATTGATGACAAATAAGACACGGAACAAATATATACTGCAAGAATATACATACATGCTACAACTAAGGATTGTGTTATTGCGTTCATCTCATAAAAATAGCAGAAATACTACTCGTATTTGTGTTAATTTAAATACTACAACATAAATAATAAAAAAGTAACGAATTAAAATTTAAACCTAACAAATCATTACGGTTTGTTTTCTTCTGGAATTTGCAATGAAGAAGTAAACGAAGAACTATATATTTACCTTGTACTCTCTCCATAGTTTTGTTAGATTGACGGGTGCATCATTGCAAAGACTCCTAAGTGTAGTATGGTACTTCATGCTCGGTATAAGGGTGTCTGGCATGGCAAAGGCTTCAACTAGGAGGTTGTGAATAGCGATATACTGGTCCTGATATCATAAAAATAATTTCTCGTCATATTTTTTTTCTTTATGTAAGCGTTGATTGGAGAATAGTGACTTCACATCACACACTTGTAAAACAATTTTGCATCAAGAAATATAATTACTGAAGACGTGGAATCCGCATTTCTACATATATTATAATATCATAACGCAAGTTTATAGATGTCTTAACAATTTATATGTTCATGATATTTTATGATATCCGTTGATTGCATAATCATATCACGAGTGGGGTTGTACAGCAATGCTGTTCTGAATGCCGATTGAGTGAGTAAATTTTAAAACATACAGGACGATATATGTTGTATTAGTATTACATCAATGCAAAAATACAAGTCAACAAATTACAGAACTATTCTTTACCAGTATATTACACACGATATATAACAGGGAACATTAGCTAATCAGTTGCCCTCTCATTTAGCAACTCTGATTTTATTTGTGTAAGGAGACTACCTTCCAAAATAAAACACAAGACATGACGTGACACTTGAAACATATCTTGATATCGACTGAAGGCTTTGGCTATTCATGCCGGATAATTTATTAGTCCGTTTGCTATTGTGATAAATATGCAAAGTTTCATACAACAATGCTAAAGCTGTTAGCTTACTTATATGATTAGTGTGCAATAAGAAAGGAGACTGATTGATTTAAGTCACATGGTTAAATGTTTCATAGAAGGTGAGTCATTTATCGATAATAAGACTTACACAGGTTTGAACCATGTTGACCCTGTCCTTCCTCATGGTCCTAATGTAACCCATGACGTCAACCATTCCACTTGTTTTGCCGTGCTCTAACAAAGCATCCAGCGCGATGAACGTTCCTGTTCGTCCGATACCAGCACTATAAAATGACACACGATTCAACAGAATGATTAAAGCTAAGTTATAAGGCCAGTTGTTTTCTACCTTACATGTAACTGCTTCTGGTTTTATCACACATATTCTCCGTACGTTGACAAGACAATCGACCTTGGATTCTGTAATGTTGATTTTGAATATCAAATTTGATGCCGAGCTCGTGATAAATGTTAATGATATAAATAAACTGGAGAAGGTTTAATCTTAGGCCCTGGAGGTCCTGGGTTATACTGAATAATTCACTCGTTAGCAACTTTGTTGTAACCAATTCTTTTTGGTAATAGAAATAAACACAACATTTGCTGAACATTATATGTATTTGAACTGTAATTTAATTCTATTCCACAATAACATATAAAGATTTACCAGACAACTTCCCTAAGTATCATTTTTTTATATCCATTCACAAATCGGAAGTTATTCAAATACCTGCAATGGACCACCATCTTTCCTGTTAAAGTATTCTTGTAATGTTTCACACGACGATGGAAGACAACCAGTTCATTGGGGTCCGGAGTTCCGTGGTCTGGCCACGTGGTGTAGTGAAACTGGTGTATTTGCCGCACGGATTTTGTCTGGAAAGGTTGAAATTCACACACTTATGCTTCAGTCATGAATGTTCAGAAGTTGTGATACACAAGGATGACAGAAAACAGATAAAATATAAGCTAAGAAGAAAACCAGATACGTTATGAAAGTACACACCTCTTTGTTGTTTAACTGTTTTCTAATTATGGATAGGTGTAATTTATGCAATATCATCTTGTAAATGATAAGTAAGTGCACCAATGTGAGTTGATTTTACCAAATGAACAAAACAAAGGTTTGAATTAAACGACATTTACTTTCTTTTCTGTGAGAATGATATCCCGGATCACATAGAAAGCGTAAACCCTTTCTCTGTCAAGAACGATGTTGAAATGTTTTGTAGACATCGGCTCACCCTCGTCAGGCCAGTATTTCGCACACTTTTTCTATGATAAAGATAATTTAAAACATTAAAAAAATGTTTAAAATCATTAGGACAATGACGTCAGCAATGAACAGATTTGAGTCATTTCTGAACTTACCATTTCCTTATCATATTATGTATGCGTTATGTATTTTATTGGAAACTTACAGGATGTTTGAAAGCATGAACCATAGTTTGAGAAACCGTTTCACATATTTTGTTATGCAAGCGATATGTCTTTTTTCAAACATTCTTGGCTGTTTAAAACCTTAAACCATAGATTGGGAACCATTTCTCATATTTTGTTATGCATGCAATATGTCCTTTATTGAACATTATTGGCTGTTAAAAACCCTGAACCATGGTTTGAGAAACCATTTCTCATATTTTGTTATAAATGCGATGTGTCTTTTATTGACCATTATTGGCTGTTAAAAACTTTGAACCATGGTTTGAGAAACCATTTCTCATATTTTGTTATAAATGCGATATGTCTTTTATCAAACATTCTTGGCTGTTAAAAGTAATAAAAATCTTGAACCATAGCTTGAGGAATCATTTCTCATATTTTGTTATACATGCGATATGTCTTTTATTGAATATTCTTGGCTGTTAAAAACCTTGAACCATGGTTTGAGAAACCATTTCTCATATTTTGTTATAAATACGATATGTCTTTTATCAAACATTTTTGGCTATTAAAAGTAATAAAAACCTTGAACCATAGCTTGAGGAATCATTTTTCATATTTTGTTATACGTGCGATATGGATTTTTTTGAACATTCTTGGCTGTTAAAAACCTTGAACCATTGCTTAAGAAACCATTTCTCATATTTTGTTATAAATGCGATATGTGTTTTATTAAACATTCTTGGCTGTTAAAAAAAAAGGTATCAATTTACTATTGCATTCAACATTTCACACATAACATGAGAGTTAAAAATGCACGATGCCTTACTTAATCACTTAACAGTATATGCACCATACAATATACCGAAATTTTCAGAACAATATCCAAGGTGCAAAATTGTAGGTATTACCTTTGTTCCTTCAATAAGGTTGGTCAGCATAACGATTTTTCCAGATTTAAGCTGCCAGATCATACGCCACAGGTCATCTACAATTTTGTCCGTCGGACCTATCCATAAGGAAATGTATAATGTTAGTGTCATTGATCAATCTATTCACGTAAAACAATACACCAATGATTTAAGCATAGTGTTAATATATTTCACTTAAATTTTTGAACACTTTCAAAATGTTTCTCCATGTTGTTCCGGTCTTTGCAATCAAATTAGAAATGCATGGCATTATGATCATGATTCCTGCTTAAATATAACATTAAACCAATGTATAATCCTACTGGTAAACCGTTTATTTTCCCGTTATTTTCCCATTAACCACCCTTGATCAACTCTTGTCAAGCCATCGTAAGAACGACTGAATTACAGTATCTCATTATGACAGCACAGAAGCAACTCCATTCCACTCACGCATTGTGACATGTATTTGTAATCTGATGAAACCAAATTCATACACAAAATTAAAATCACCTAACAATACATTAGAAGATAAACGGAGGAAAGATGACTATACTATTGATTCAAATGTAAAGTTAACTTGTTTCAAAATTTACACAGAACGAATCTTTCGACACGGACAACGATCAAATTTGACTACGAAAATGAATCTAAGATGGTAAAATACATATTTACCTTGTGTTGCGATATATTCTGCAGGTAATGTGACACTCTGAAATGTACGAAACTGACATTTCATATTTAGTTTACTTGTCTTACCCTCAAAAGGTTTCTTCCTGAAGCAAACGCTATATAATAATATATATATATATAAAGAATATACGACTTTGCCACTTGCATGTACTTCGATTCTAATGAAAACAAAACAAATTGCTTTCTAAATAAATCAATTTTAAGAAAGTTTAACACAGCGTTAATCCTAGTCTATCATCTCAATTTCAATTTTTAAACGACCTTTTGGTTTTTATTTCGATACAAAATGTGGTTTGTTTGAAAATACTAACATCAATGTAGTTTGCGTTGATGTAGTCTGAATGAGGGTCATTGTCCAGTTTGTCAAGAATCACGCGGGAATGATCATCTATAAATATAGAAAAACGATACAATTGAGCAAAACACATGTCTCACTGGCATAGATAGAGTTTGATCAATCAGCGCCTTTGTATAAAATAAAAAAACATTATTTCGGAATTGGCTTGGGTAGTATTTCAACCAAATTAATATAACGTTTATTCTACTTTTACTTTAGACATGAAGCATTATGGATGAGACCTGAATGGACGAACTGTATTTCCCAGCATATCCTTATTTTGGATTGAACGGTAAAACTTATTGTTGAATCTGAAAAAATCATGACGATCGTTTCTGCATTTTGGCCTTTAATACTGATATTGAAATGATACAAAAGTCTTACTTACAGGGAAACGTAGACTTAAATCTGTTCTTCATCCTGTTTGCAGTCAACATTCCAATGTTGTGTTCATGTATAGCTCCGGAAGGTAGTGACTAATCAACAATTGTATATATATCACATAGTATATTTCGTGAAGACCTAGCCTAAGTGGTAGGTTGATAAATTATAGAAACTACAGAATCGACAGAGAATGTTTATCAAACCCTTCAATTATTACAATATCCGCATGAATATAAAAAAAAAATTGAAAAAGTAATTTAAATCAGAATACGTTTTGCAGCATCCCCATACATATAACTTACCGCGTATTCGTCTTCAAATGCTTTTGCCTCATTAAGCATCTTGGCTTTGACCATAGCTTTAAGATCGGAAAGAGCTATACTGACTGGACCGCTATTGTTGCATACGTTTGCGGAGCTGTCTTTATCTACATCATTAGCATTGACGTAAACGTTATCATGATTTGTCGGGATCTCTGTGGTATTTTCCACTTTTGCTATATCACTAGCGTTGACATAAACGTTCCCGTGACCTGCCGGGGTTTCTACTTTGGATCCATCATCAACAACTTCATAAACGTTTCCTTGTTCGGTCACGGGTTCTGCGGAGTAATCATCTGGCTCTGTAAAGGGATATTTTGATATTGATAAAACAGATTACAACTGTTTTAATCGAGAGAAAGTCACAGCGCACTTTATTCTGTTCGACACTATAACTATGTGATGTTTGATGTAACTCTTACCTGACATCTTTCTATATTTTTGTAGTTGTGATGCAATAGACTGGGTTCCTCACTCTTAATAATATTATAGCTATTGGTGTATGTGTGATATTTGAAGCTTATATGTCTGCTATTATCATAGCCTTCATTGTTATGTGTGATATTTAAAGCTCCCATGTCTGCTATTGTTATTGCTATTGTTGTTATGTGATATTATAATTGTTGTTGTTATGTGTGATATTTAATGCTCTTATGTCTGCTATTATTATAACTATTGTTGTTATGTGTGATATTTAATGCTTCCGTGTCTGCTATTATCATAGCTTGTGTTGTTATGTGTGATATTATCATAATTGTTGTTGTTATGTGTGATATATAATGCTTTCATATCTGCTATTATTATTGTTATTGTTGTTATGTGTGATATTATTATAATTGTTGTTTTCGATGTTCTCTATTAATATTACCGTAGCTGTAGTTGTGATGTGTTGTTCGAGGAATCTTTTTTCTGCTTATATCATCAAATGAGTCCTTTTTTGTTGAATTTTGTCTGCGTCTGCAATTTATACACATATATTTCAAGTATATTGTGTATTGATCCTCTTAAGTGATACTTAATATGTAATGTAAAGCTAAACAAAATAATTATTTTCAGTAACTAAACAACCTTTTTGTAAAATATGTGTAATTATACATTTAACAAGTCAATATTGAAATATTAACGTAAGGACACAATGCTGATTACACCTTTACAGTTTTGTTATAGATACAGTATGCCGAAAACGAATTACACAGTACCATACATCTATTTCCTTTTAAGATTTATGAATTTTAAAACATACTACATTCAAATCAAAGGATATGCCATACACTGTCTAAGTATGTGATTATATCAATGATGCGAAATTTACAATAGGCAGATATAATCATGTGACTAGTCATACTAAGTTAGGAACGCGTAAGTTGTCTGTTTATTATCTTAGCATCATTATCAAACAAACATACCTTCTGATAAGGAACACACTGGTTGATATTATAACAGCCAGGAGAAGTAGCCCAACTACAACCCCTACGATCGTCCCGGTATTACCATCCGATGTTTCGGTCTGCAGTACTTCTTTAAGTAGATTTTAAGTAAATACCCTTAAGATTTATTGATGAAAATATTATCGAAATTGAAAAAGAGAACCACTCTTAGATTACCTGCAACAGCAAGCTTAATGACGTTAATGGATATCCTACACCATGTCATTGAGTCCTACATGATTTGTCATAAGAAGGATTGATACAGGGAACGTTGCGGGAAGAATGTAGAAATGGCCATATTATAGATATTTTCTCCTTCATTACATACTGAAAATATTTAGGTAAACATAAGCTGTTTGGCCATAAATATCAAACTTGTACTTTATACACAAACAATGTACGCATTAAACTGGTCTCTTTGTTTAATTACAAAGGGACCAGTCCGTTTTCAAACGTTGCGACACGTTCAATGGAACATTCTTTGTGTATAAAGTAAAACACAGATAGCAGATTTTTCTAACTGAAGATAGTTGGGCCATACATATAATAGGAGTGAGAAAACCAACACGGCCAAAAGACCGAGATCGGAACTTAGCAACATCGAACTCCAGACAACACTTTAACCAACTAAGCTACCAGTTATATTATGATGTTCCATCTACAATGTACTTCATCAGTGAAAAATGAACATCATTGTTTTGAAGTCAGTTATATTTGGACTGTATTTGATGAATAAGTGCTTAAAGGTTATTTATGAGTTTATTTTATGCAAAGCATTACCGACATACACCCCCGTTTCAATATTTAGTAGGACAACAATGACCTTTAAGTGATGTCGGGGACGGAATAATACGTTACGCTATCATAACTTTAAAAGGCGATAAAACGTTTGTAAACCATTATTGTTTCAATCCGTCAATATCAATATGATCAGTGGATAACGTACAGATGAGTTTCAAAAAAAGGTTTAACTCTTTTCTCCCTCTTATCGACCGTAATTCTGTAAAATACGACATAAGCAGTATAAATGCAATATTGTAGGTATATGGGATAAGGATATTCCATCAAAGGTGTAGAATTTGGACCAGAATCGAGCCTTTGCCAAAGTTCTGACACCAAATTCCGCATCCAGTGGTGTCACTAGATGACAGCAATATTTTTATAGTCACTCATGCAAAGTTTTAACAGGCGTTTGATTGTGACGTCATAGTACAATACCGTCATCTTATTGTGACGTCATAATACAAACGGTGACTGAGTGCACCCATGTGGGATTAATAGAATCTTTCACCCCCTTGGGGGTGAGATAGGGGGATCTCAACCCGAGGGGGAAGATTCTTAGGGTGAGACAAGGAAATCTCACACCGGTAAACGTGCGGATACACCTGTCCAGTGTAAGAGAAAAACGTATCCCATATGATGAGTGTTCCGTATGGAGCACTTATATCTTACATACGTAGAAATGCATTATTATAGCAGTGTGGGATTCTAGATCTTGCATAACATGGTCTTTACTATGGCTATATTACTTTACTTAGGTTCGTAAGGTGTATAGTCAATGTTGATATCTTACTCATCTGACATGTATTTCCTTCGTATCCAGCAGAGCAGACAGATAGACAATAGCCTGTGTCCCGCACACATCTATCGCAGTTTCTACATGGCATGCTACAGTTTCCACCGTGTAAACCACCCGCACACTCTGTTTTGTCGTAAAAAAAACCTTTATTAATATTTTTTGTTCTTCATGTAAATCATTTTACTGGTATCAGTTAAGAAAGATATCGTTATTAATATAAGTTTTATTTTTAGAGAAGTAATGGTTTAAAATTGATGAAACAGAAAACATCTTATATAACCGTTTTTCATTGTTGATAGTGGTATTCGTTATTGACATAATAGGTATAAAACACATTTAATGTCTTTTTAATCCATACGTTAATACTTATTTCACTGTAAGTAAACGTTAAAGAATATCGGACAATACATATTCAGGTTTGTAACTTTATTTAAGTTGAAACCGGTATATTTAAATGGCAAGATATGCCATGAATTGTGGCCTCAAAGGGTACGATTTGCATGGTCAACAAATACATTCGGTTTGTGAACTGTTAAGAGATATTTTCTCATAGGGTTCGTTATATATACCCTAACTATATTCTGTATCGTTTATTTTTTGGAGAGAAATTAAATATTCACCGTACCAATAAATATAATAAAAAAACCACTTATTGTATATTTTGATACAGTCATGTTTAGATTTACTTCATAATATAAAACATTCTGTCCCATTCAATCGCATGTATGGTTAACGTATGACCACAGCGTTTGGTAACTGGCTGGTGACTGCATTTTTACACGGGATATATATGTATATATTATTTATTACAAGGTTTGTTTCACATCGATGTTTATTTTGTTGGCACCGAATGTTATCGAACAGTGTCAAAACGTGTATATCAAAATACAGCATCATACCTTCACAATCTCCACTCTCGGCATTGCAACGGTTATTCAGACAACTCTCGGAGCAACTGATGTTACAAAACGATCCATGTTTTCCAACAGGACAATCTAAAGAAAATCACGACTTTGGATTACTAAAGCTTTTGAATGTCCCAGCATTCAATGAAAGCCATATTCATCAATTTATAAAAAAAAATTTGGCAACGTCTGGAAATCTACATCCGCATTAATGGCAATAGTTGAACCTTGGTATTAAACACCACTTATCGAAATCAGGGGGGACACTTAATGTAAAAAAATGCTTTCAATGCAGTTATTTTATTTACACTTTATTTATAAAACTCAAGATCATACACAGCTTTCAACCTATGTTTTCTTTAAGTATAGTATATAACATACATTGGGACCCCTAGATTTTACCTGTACATGTTCCATCGCTTTGTTGGCAACTATTGTCTTTGCATTGACCCAGACAATCCATTGAACAGGAGGGGCCGTACTTTCCAGGATTACATGCTAAAATATTTGTATTCATTGAAATTATTTTAACTTTACAGTTCATATATAGAAATACGCACATTTTTATTTTTATACTTATTTTTTCAAATTTTTGAAAATAAGTTTCGTTAAAAGTATTATTTTTTTTTTGATAATATTTTTTAACAGACAAACAATCGAAGGTCACTATAGCCATATACTCCTGATTCAATTATATACGATAAATCTGAAGTCAAACAGGTCAAAAATGATCACTGCCATGACAATCATAGTTACATCATGTTGATGAACGAAGATGTTCGTCCATGTTGTAAAAATAGATGAAAAGGTATGTCTCAGTTTCAACATACTAAGACAAAATGTCATGAATATAGATATCACCAATGATTTGAAATGTGAGGCGTTTCCATTTCTACTCACTTAACCAGTTGTTATAGTGTACTAATTTTCAACAATTAATGTTTACCCTTCACCTAAAATCTCTATGAATTACTAATTAAAAATTCGATTGGCTTTTGTTGAGCATATTTTTATATAACCAAATACCATTACGACCTATTGATAATTTTTCTTAATAAAAGTAAAAAATAAATAAATAACAAACGATTAAAGAAACCTTGTATATCATTTTTTTTTTTTTTCAAATATAGCATAAATAACTCATGGCGAAGCTAACAAACTGGTCGTCATAATTCTTGAGAGCAATAACAATAACGATTAAGCCACCTTTCCTCTTCGAAATATTTAAAGCAGTTTTGACAATTTCTCAAACTGTACACAGTTATATGAATAATACTGTTTCCAGTACTGAAAGATAATGATATCCCAATAGAAAACTAACATTTCATACTTAAAATCAAATTGATCTATCTATGAACAAATCGCGATTTGTTAATAATTGTTGGTTTATACCTAAGCCTAGCTGATCATATGATCGTTGTGGTTACCTCCCTTGTTACTTTCATTTTCTTGAATGATAATGTTTGAAAGATCATTGACGAAAATAATGGAAGTTGAAGTTGTATCATATAAGATTTCGTTCCTTCCCGCCTACCCGCTCCAGAGCCATACAATGTAATGTATCGGGCCTTGTTGCTGACCGATATCCTTTGTATGTTTATGGATAAGACTTTCTTTGATGCTAGGTATCACACGAAAAGGGACTCAAGTCAAACGAGACAATATCTATTTTACTAGCGGTCTTTTGAAACAACACCAGTACCTCATCAGTAAAAGTTTTACCATATTGAACAGTGTCGACCGTCAATGAAGACTTTAACTTTATTAAGTTAGTGAAATTATCAATAATATTTGTAATCTCATGGATAGCATGATTTATTTGAAGAATTCTGGGGAGATGAAGTGTATAACATATCCAAGTGATAACATGACCTTTTCGTCCATTTTTCAAAGTATTCACAAATAGTTTTGTGAAAGAGTTTTGATAAAAATGGAGGGATATGAGGAGTACATCTGGTTCCAGTGAACTAATGTTTTATCTTTATTTTTATTTCGAATGTCCATATTGCAATATTCACATGTTATTTAATCTGAATTTATCTCGATATACGAGACAATTATTTTCCTTTTGGTTTAACCTAAAGTTTGTGACAGTTACCGTAACATTCGTAAGCCGACGTCATATAGTAACCAAACCAAAACAAAAATATCTGTGTTTGTTATTTTGTATCTTTAATACTCCATGATTTACTATAAATATGTTCAGCAAATAATTAACAAACTGCCTAAAATAGCATATCTACCGAGACGTTTTGGATATGTTTCTCTAATAAGTATTATATAACAAAAGGTACATATCTTCTGATTGAAAACAGCTTATTGAGGGGTTCAAATTGTTGCAAGGCACTTGATGGTAAGCATTTCAGTAAATGTTCTATCAAAACTTAATATCAATTATTGATCAAAAGCAAGACATTAATGATCAATTTTAAAACTTGTTGTATTTCAAGATTTATTGTAGTGTTGATATTATAACAAGATAACAATACTTACCTATACACTGTCCATTGCTCTTCGTGCATGTGTTGGCTTCACAGTTGACAGAGCAATTATTTGTACACTGATCACCGTATTTTCCAGGAATACATTCTGTAATATAAGTAGATTCTTTTAGTTATTATCAGTATTACAATTCAATTAACAGATTCAATGGTACATGTTTATAAGTTACACCTAATGATGTTTAACATTATTCGATTCATGTTAATGTTAAGTACTTATCTAATCAAAGCACGCAAATGTATGGAATTATAACCATGTATCATACCACTGTCAAAATAAACTTGTATCGTCTCGAAAATAAAAGATGAATCGTTTCTTCTCCCTTTAGAATAAAACATTCCTCTTTATCAATATCCACCTGAGACATGCATGAATTGTCTTTGCAGTTTTCAGAGCAGTCAATGTCAAATGTAGCCTACAACGACTTACAATTTTCCAATCTGTCATGTATGGTGCGGACCTGTGACAATAGTATCAAAATTGAAATAGATGATAAATGTATTGAACACAGCTATCATGATTAGTAACACTGTTATTGATACAAAAGATCAGTTATAATAAATAATGTTCATTCTTAATTAAATAGAGTCTTGCGAAAAATGTTGAATTGAAACCCCCACGAACAAGAGGTAATGTTGTATATTATTATTAAAAATAATCAATATGATTATGTTTCATTAGTTATTTAAACATGTCAAGATAACAGTTTTTGTGTTGACTGTACCGAGGAGACGAAAGCGCTACGAGACTTAATCGTCAAACTTTGGTCTTGTTTAATTTTATCATTAACTAATAGGCCAACTCCTGTACAAATGTTATGTACATTTCACGAAATTACTAATGAGATGTATGAATTAGTAAATCATATCTTGATGACAAATCACGCAACACATTGAGCGTTATAAGGGGCACTAAGAACCAATGATAGACTTGAAATCATATCCGCTATTCTTCTCCTTAGCCTTGAAGTATTTCTTCAATTAATTGTAGTACTATGGGGGAATGTAAATACCCTGCATCAGGATCGACAAATTATGGTAAGGAATATGGAACTGGCTTAGGCAAAAGACATGTTCTGATAAGCTAACTGCAACAACTTACCTAAGCAACAATTATCTCTCCTCATGCTCAATAATCCATATATATCATCACTTTTACTGTCACCACAGCAACAGTAACTACTCGGCGAAGTTATAATTACCAAAACACTGTTCGGACGCCTGGTCACATGTCACACAATGCGAAGAACAACTGGTGTCACATAATTCCCCCTTTTTGCCAGGATTGCATCCTGAAAATATACATAATTATCGTGGCATTATTATGATGAGGAAAAATAGGAATAGAAAAGAAATGTCGGAAAATGTGTTTCAAGTTTGATAGGAACTTGTACTGGTTGATGAGGTGTACTGTTTAGAAAATATATAGGAATTAAATCTGGATTTTCCCAGTGTGTCGGTAAATTTTCCCCCGTTCATACTTGCATGAACACTGGAAAAATCCAGATTCAATCCCTATAATTCCAAATCACTGTCAACGGAAAGGAAAACCAAAAACATCATTCAAATTACGAACTTTTTTCTTACATTCATAGATTATTTCATAAGGTGTAGTATTATAAGGTAACATCGCAACGTCATTTCGGGGATCTCGAACCTAACTCATGTGAACATTTTCCAAAGGTCGCTTCATATCCAGCTTGTTAATGAAAACATTGAAGAAACAGTAACGTTTGCGAATGTGCTTTGAATTTACTAAGGCGATTCGACAAAGAGAAAGCTTTCAACACTGTAGCCTCGTGCAAATGTGAAGTCGATGGATGATGATTCTGGAGAACGGAAAGACCGGGGTTGACACCCGGTTTGAAGACAGCGGTGTTTATTATGACGGGAAGGTCATTAGCTGGACTCGTCACGTTTTTAATTTCATGGATCATTCCAGATATAAAATATGAAAGAACTTTAATTTGAATGTCGTGAGAGGAACATTATGCGTCGTAATTCCAACCCAGCGTTCCTCGGTGTTTGGTTGTTTGTAGTCTGGGACTCGCTATGTGCGGCGTATATACCGAGGGCAAAAGCTTAGTGTTTACATGTCGCGTTCGTCATGTCCGTGGAAATTCATGGATAATACAGTATATGTGTAATTAAATTCACCTCTGTGATACTTTCTAATGTTAGAAACATCAATATTAATTCCTGTTTTTGATCACTGTGTGTAGATCCATGTGTGACATTGAAATACCTTGTCAGCTTGAGCTTTGTCAGATTGATATCGTCGATACGTCAGACGACAGAACGTGTCAATGTTGTGAATATGGTCAACTGTAGGATAAACTCATTTACTGTTTAAACTTCTAATACTTCAAATAATAAACAATAAGACAAAAATACAATAGTAAAGATTAATTATAAACAGTAGATCTTGTTTTTTCACGGCGAGACAACTTGAACGACAATGGGAATTAGGAAAATTCAAAAGGTAGTCCCATGGAAAAAAAACAGCCATTCATACTTATATTAACAGCTATATTTTGGGTCACATGTGCTACTATTAACAAATCACAGAACCTGTAACAAAAAGGAAAATCAAATATGGAATTGTGTATGATTGAGAAATGATAGCTTAAACGGAGTGAATGGTTAAAATCAGAGGGATGACGTGTGAAAACATCCTCTCTTGAAAACCATGGATCATGACACTTATTTTAGGAATAGGTGTTAGACATCGTTTTGTTATTGACGTATTAATCATGTAAACTTTGTATGTAATACACTACTTACCTATACAATGTCCATCGCTCCTAGTGCAGTTTTTGTTTTTACAATTGTCAGAGCAATTAACTGCACAATTGTCACCATGTTTTCCAAGAACACATTCTGTAAAAGTAATTACCTTATCAAAAGAGATACACAAAACATATTTCAAAGAATGCAAATACTGAACAATATCTGTCAATGTTTTATTACATTTGACTCTGGTATTTTTGCAGTAAATAGAACATAGAGATGCATCACATGGTTTAAATTTAACTCAATTATAAAACGAACGATTAACGAATCGTTTAATTATATGATCTTTCAATATAGCGTTTAATGCTTTATTGTATCTAGTAAACCTATTTAAATATGAAGTTCCATAGTATTTAAATCAGTGAGGTGTTTACAAATTACCTAAGCAATATCCATCGTCCTTAGTACATGTTTTGTCTTGCAGTTGTCATTAACACTCTCTAAATATGTCACGTATTGAATAAAAGATCAAGAAAACACCCGGGACCCTCGATGTTCGTGAATTTGTATTTAAACAGTCGATACTACTGAGTGTAATAGTTGTGCCTGTCCTGATGTATATAATGATCTACGTACCTATACAAGTCCCGTCGTTCTTCATGCATGCTTTGTCTTTACAGTTGACAGAACAATCAGCTGCACAATCATCACCATATTTTCCAGGGACACATTCTAGAAAAAAACATATTTACTTACGGAAGTTAGACGTTGGTGGAAAGTTCGTTAAACCTTTTAATATTTCGCTAGTAAGAACGTGTCTAAAAATAAAATGAAAATCACAAGAGGTTTTCGAATTATATGATCGCCATGAAAGATCCGTCAATGTTATATCATTAAAAGAGATGTTAAATATTAAGATTTCATAAGTTTATTATCTTTACTTAAGCATTATCTTTTGCCCTTAAAGCAACATTTATCTTTACAGTTCTCCGAGTTTATTCAATTAAATGATCTTGCGAATAAAGTTTTACGTGTTTTATCTGCAATGACACATTTGGATTGTCAAATACCATTGTACTTATATCCGATAAGGCGAATTTTGGTTACCTAAGCAATATCCGGTTTCCTTCATGCATAATATGTTCTTACAATTGTCAGAACAATCAACGTCACACACGTCACCATGCTTTCCATTAACACATTCTGAAATATAAACATATATATATATATAACATTTTATTACTAACATGTGACTTATTGTGCAAAACACATCCTGCGATATCAACATACAAATACAACTGTGTGGAGTGTGCATACTGAACACTTGTAATAGAACGTGAATTTTAGGCCACTCTTCTAAAATATTCGGTTAATTTTCCTGCAATGCCGAAGAAACAAGAGTGGTTTTTAAAAGGATCCAAACGTTGCTAAATTAATCGTTATTGTCACGTTATCCATTTTATACTTTTATATCATAAGACTCTTTCATGTCCAGGGGTGAAGGATATGGAAATTCCAACAGAGGGGTTTTCAAATTTGGTAAAACCCGAGGTTTTCATCCTTGGGCATGAAAGAGTATTTTTCTCTCATTCCAACTACCAGCAAAAGCTGAGAAACCATGAAAATGCGTTTGAACTGGCTTCCATTTTGAAAATATCGATTTTCCCCCTGAGCTTTTATGACGAAAACAAATTCGTCAGCGAGATTTAGAACACCCCATTTGTTTGCACAGAAAAATAATCTCACCTTTCCTACGTGTACGGTAAATATATCGAAAAATGTTTTAATTTCATCATGTTGCCTTTCCGCATTGCGGCATCGGTGTTTTCCAAATTCGTGAAGTCACGTCATTGTTGAGCCATTATGACGTCATGTGAAATGAAGTGTTAGATAGAAATTTCCTACACCCCTTTCTTACCCACAAGCACATGAGAGAAAATGCTTATTACTTACCTATACAATGTCCATTGCTCTTCGTGCAGTTTTTGTCTTTACAGCTGTCAGAGCAATCCAATTCACACATATTCCCATGTTTACCAAGAATGCATTCTGTCAAACGAATGATCTTTATTTTAACATGTGCCAATATTATATTTTCAAATAATAAATGCACTGTTGCATAATGAGACATATGGTGAGGAATATTTTTTTTCGTCTGACTGATATTGTCCCAGTAAGCACGTGTCTAAAAATAAACACACCAGTGGGATTTCAATGTAATTATTATATTAGCGATTTTTATATTATATGGGTGTGGTGTTTGAAAAAGATTACTTATGTTTGATCTGGACAATTGATATGCAATTGCAACTATACAATAAGAAATTGCACCATATCGATATCTGTTATTTACCTAGACAATATCCATTGTCCTTCATGCATGCTTTTTGTTTACAGTTGTCAGAACAATCAAAGTTACAAGCATCACCGTACTTTCCATTAACACATACTGAAACAAACATATGATTAAGAATCAGTGCTTGATATATATGAAGATTCAAGAAATATGTTCAACATCACTTAACAAAATAGTCTTTATGAATCATCAAAAGTGCAATGGTCGATTATCAATATGCAACTACAGTAGTTTATGTGATATGCAGTTTGCTATTTTATACAATGAGTTGAATTTAGTGATGGTATTATTTATAAGGTTGGCAGATAGCTGACATCATTTTATCTACGCAATGATGAGATAGACCTAATGAAACAAACGACCCGGATGTTTCAGGTGGTTTAAATCTACTTTTCATTTCCCTGCTTTTAAAGTGCTTTGAACAAGTCATATTTGCAAGAACCAATCAAATTTTACGGAGAACGTGCGCTCATGGGTTTTCCCTATCTTGCCTTGTTTTAATTACCAATACATTTGTCGGACGACTGTTCACATATCACACAATTCAAAGGGCAGTTAACATCACAGAGGTCACTCCTTTTACCGGTAATACATCCTGAAAAGAAAAAGAGTTTTGGAATCGTATGTTTACTTTTTCGAAATCATGTAATTAAATGATATACACATGGTGCATTATAACAAGAGAGCAGAAAGTTCCCGGTGTAAAAGTACTCGTTATTAAAGGGTAAGTGCTTCCTTCTATACGTAATAAATTTCCATCCCCCCCCCCCCCCCCCCCCCCCCCCNCGCGAGATTTACTCAATCATAAGCGCCCACTCATGGTAATCACACACAACGTATAAAGGTTATTCCGGGACCAAAAATGTTTTCGTTTGTTATACGTTACACAACTTTTGTCGGCAATGTTCAATAATCTGTGTATATTGCATTAGTGTTGATAACTTTAATATTGAACAAAGAATCAAATAATGTCTATGATAAATACAATATATGTAAATGTACTGATCATGAATACAGTGATATTAGTGTTACTGATCGTAGATACACTATTTGTGTTTACATGCACATACGGAGGTATCTTAAATAACAGGCAAAATCATAACTAATACAAATTTCCCAATCACGTGTTAGCATCTAGGATTGTGATTGGATACCTCTATTGCTCCCTTTGTGCATATTTTTACCAAGTGATCTGGACAACTACCAGGGTATCATTCTGATGACCCGTTTTATGTGCTAGCGACAGCAACGCTGATACTTGTTTCACCATGTTGCTGTTAGACGTGTAGGTGTTTATCAAAGGGTATGAGTGCGGTCAATCTAATGAACAATATTTGAAGTATGGCCAAGTAACATATCAGATAATACGATAAGACTTTGTTTTTTGAGTAACAAAAAAATATCTATTTTACAACAATTATGAAATAAGTTTTCCCATCCTATATTAATATTAATTAATCCTAGTGGCCGGGATGGGTCTTCGCATTGCGTCTAAGTTTGAGAGGAAACTTAAGAACCCGGTAACATACCGTTTCATGTCCGATCGGAGAATCAAACCCCGACGGCTTGGTAAATTTTCTCGAAAAAAAAAAGGTTTCTCTTTTGATATAGATATTTTCTCTACGCCGCTGGAATACGTCATACAAACGCACAGGCTCTGTAGGCGTTATCATGCAGATGATATAAGTAAAGTAGTCTGATACGTTTGATGAAGATCAAAGGAACCGCGCGGCAGTAAAATGGGCAAAATGACATGCGCTAAAGTTGGATGTAGCTCTTCTGTAATCTTTTAAGTACAGGTATCAGTCTAGCTATTCGTCATGGTTTTAAGCATGAAACAAACCAAATAGCTTACCGCGATCCTTCGATTTTGTCAAGACACATTCCAGGGGTGCAGAGACTGAAATCTTCGGATTCGAGGACAAATGTGCCACCCGACCACCCATTAAAACATTATTTTGTAAAGCTTCACTGATTATAAAGCATAGCGATTTTAATGTTAAGAACCTTTTTCTGTTAGAATGTCATATTGCCGCGAATGGCATATAAATCAAACTATATCATATAGTTTCATTTATTTGTGCTTCGCGGCAACTTACTGTATCCTTCATTGTTGATTACAGAACAAGTCCATGTAGTTTATCCCATGCTCATCGCTGGGTCTGAACTCATGCTTTCGAACGCATCGTAGAACTGCCTACTAATCATCAATAAAGAAAATATAGAAAGACCCCAGATATTTAGGTAAAAACCTGCAAAATATATTCGGCATACGTACCTATACAATGACCTGTATCTTTTTCACAAGTACTTTTACAGTTAGCAGAGCAATGCTGTTCACATAAATCACCAAACATTCCGGGTAAACAATCTACAATGTTAATATATTTTTCTGTCAGGAGAGTATATGAGCTTTATACGGTAATAGAGCACGCATTTATTGATATCAATATATTGATAAGTTCGTACAAATTTTATTCTCTTACTGTGATAAAGTTGATGCCAGGTTTATATTGGTCATTAATACGTGCTGCTGTTACCCTATGTACTATAATGGAACCTCTGCCTTGATACATTTGTATGTGTTAGATACTTGTAAGTGTTAAATACTTCTTTGCTAATGGCCGTCAAAGCAAATTCAGTAAAAGGCTCATACATTCCCGGTGTTGTGGTTTTTCAAATAAACTTAAACCATTCACAGACACAAATCTACCTAAATGCTACTAGTTATTGATGTGGCTGAATCGCCATGACAAAGAAAGGCACCTTGGGACAACAGATTTAAGAACTTTGACATTGTCATTCGAACACCATATCTCACTGAACATTTCAAGCCATCTGTTCAATGAAAAGTGAAGAAAACGAAATGGCCACATAGTGAAAGAAGCACAGCCTACACTTTTCGTCTGCACCGTTACACGAATGTTTAGGATGCCCATTTTTGAAGAATCTACAGTACCACCTGACCAAGTGGATGTGATGATAAAGTGTGTCAAAAGCCACAGCTAGAATAGAAATAGATATATAGTATCCTTGCCATCTGTTGAAAGTATGCAGAAATATTTTAAATTGTACATGGCGAGTAAATGTCAAAACAGTAGTATTGATATTAGTAAATGGATGTGTTGAACATGTAGTTTGGTCCGAACTCACAGAAGCAGGATCCAGTTATAGAGTTACAGTTTCCTCCATAGCAGCTTCCTGAGCAAGGACTATTACAGCTGCCGGTACCATAACGTCCGATTTGACATCCTGTACAGTACAAAATTGAACATATATTATTTATCTGATTGCAGGTTACATGATTGTAAACGTTTTAATGTTTGTATTTAAAGATACAATATTACAGGTGTTCAACATTGGCATTGTTAGGACGAATACAGGGTATCTCAAACTAGTTTCCACATCAGATTAAGTAAAAAAAAAAGCTCACAGATTGGTTTCATCATGAGTCCTGATTTCATTTGTGAGGTCAAAATGACGGTTAATATATACTATTGTTTCATGTCAGATACCACTAATGAATGTGATGGTGATATACAGCGTACACTGAATTATATAGGTGATATATGTATATTATAGTACTGTAAGACTAGATAATACTCTAAAAACCTGTTAGAATTATTTGTCATGATATTGTTTCTCCGAAATGTGTTTATTTACGAAAATACAAAGAACAATATTTTGTTTAAGTGGAATGTGAGGTCACCATCGAGAATTAAGTTTTAAAAAAAAAAAGAATAACTGGATAATATACGATATGTTGCAATACATTTACCACGAAACACAGTTCAACCTTAAACAGAATCAATGTTATCTCAGTCGTTTACCGTCAGTGTACCTAAAATGGGACACTTGTGAGAAATTCACCAAGGAAATTGACATGTATTTCAAAGAAGTATTTTTATTTGTTCAATTTCACTTTAGACACTTTTCAACTATATATATTGACTTTATGGACTATTAATTATTGTCACAAGGACAGTTTAAGGTTAGAAATAATTTTCAAAACATAGCTTACCTAATTTACGTGCCATGCGACGCTTTCTATTTGGATATAATTTTCATTAACTCATATTTTCAAAACTGAAGCTAAAGTGGTGATGAAAATTTGATCAGAACCTTCTTAACGCTTAAAATATTGTGTACTGTTTAATTTGCTCTTATTGATCGTGTATCCCACAATGCTAACTAAAATACCAAAATGTCCCTTTCATGATACAGACTCATCTGTTAAAGAGCACACGTGACCCAAATAGTATTTAGCAATCTATTTATAAAACCCCGTGCCGGAAATATCTACTTGCGATAGAAAATAGAAATGAATGATGAAAACAAGGACAAATATTTTTTGAATTAATATTATAGTATAAAATGCAACAATGGGGAACCATCAAATACACAACCTTACGAAACAATACTGTATACTTCATTATAGTACAGTTTACATCATGGCATAACAGTGTACCTCGTTACATTACAGTTTAACCGCAACATATCAGTGTAACTCTCATCATTACAGTATACACAGTAGCATAACAGTATAAACGGTAACCTTACAGCAATACGCCAAACATCACAAAATACCTTGCAAAATTACAGTATACCTCGTAATGTCACTGTATGTATTTCAACATTCCAGTATACACCTTGAAAATACAGTAGAACTCGTAATATTAGAGTTAAGCTTGCATCATTAGATCAACACCGTAATACTACAGTATACCTCATATTATACAGTATACCCCGTATCATAACAGTATAAATCGTAGCATAACAGAATATCCCGTAACAATACCGTATATACTAGTTAACTTTATAGTATATCCCGTAACATTACAGTACACTTCGTAACATTACAGTATGCGGCATAATAATACAGTGTTACTTGCAACATTACTGTATATCCGGCATAATAATACAGTGTTACTTGCAACATTACTGTGCATCCGGTATAATACTACAGTGTTACTTGCAACATTACTGTACATCCGGCATAATAATACAGTGTTACTTGCAACATTACTGTATAACAGGTAACACTAAAGGTTCTATTTAGTAAAATGACAACCTGAAAATCGAGTCTTTACTGAAAATATATATCCCCTATCGAACATGTATACAGTTGGCAATTACATGACCTAAAGCCAGCGTCCAGTGTGGTCAGTTTCATCTTTTGGGGAAGCCGGTGATAAAAATAGCTACGACCGAAATAACGCAACATCCGGGTCTTTCATTGAGAAGTAAACATTCTTGAATTTACACAATACATCTCACGTAAGAATTATAAGTACCATGAAATCAGATATATCTGTTCACATTTGGATTTGAATGAAAATAAACAGGTGCAATTATAGCATGCACGCACTGAGAGGGTGCTGCAGGGAGAATTTCAAATCGCGAAAAGTACGATATCAATAGGTTTAAACGTAAATACACTCCATTATAACGATGTTTGAGATCCTGTTTGAGATCCTGTTTGAGGATGATTTTGATTCAGAATGAATGCATGTATTTGTATTCCAGAGAGGCTAGGTGAATAAAGAAAGAGTTTACCTTCTCTCCTCGGTTGGAGAGTAATTTTGTTAGCTAGAAATTCACCGCTAAAACGTACGGCTGTACAGTTAAGGATTTCTCCGTTACTGATAAAAAAACCGCCAGCAAAACACTGCCTTTTTTCAATTTCCCAACATGAATTGTTCATAAGGAGTATCAAACTATACTATAATGAAGAGTTTTGTGTCAGGGTTATAAAAAAACTTACTTCACTAAATTGTCTCGTTAAAATATACCCCGCAACATTACAGTTTACTATATAACATAACAGTATATCAGGAAATGTGACACTATCACAGGAGATCATTACAACCGTCAACAACAACAACAAATCAAAGTGAAGTTCCATATTCAATGTTTATTTGTATAACAGGGCACGTGATTACGTGGATATTTCACATAGCATAATTCAATAATTCGTTTTTATTTTAATCTGATAAGTAACATTAGCAATACTGATATAGAGACTGATATATAGACAAACACCAGGGCGGAGTGACGGCGGAGGGATATATAGACAAACACCAGGGCGGAGTGACTGCGGACGGATATATAGATAAACACCAGGGCGGAGTGACTGCGGACGGATATATAGACAAACACCAGGGCGGAGTGACGGCGGACGATTATATAGACAAATACCAGGGCGGAGTGACGGCGGACGGATATATAGATAAACACCAGGGCGGAGTGATGGCGGACGGATATATAGATAAACACCAGGGCGGAGTGACTGCGGACGGATATATAGACAAACACCAGGGCGGAGTGACGGCGGACGGATATATAGACAAACACCAGGGCGGAGTGACTGCGGACGGATATATAGACAAACACCAGGGCGGAGTGACGGCGGACGATTATATAGACAAATACCAGGGCGGAGTGACGGCGGACGGATATATAGATAAACACCAGGGCGGAGTGATGGCGGACGGATATATAGATAAACACCAGGGCGGAGTGACTGCGGACGGATATATAGACAAACACCAGGGCGGAGTGACGGCGGACGGATATATAGACAAACACCAGGGCAGAGTGACGGCGGACGGATATATAGATAAACACCAGGGCAGAGTGACGGCGGACGGATTTACAGTGATACGGTAAACACGACATGACGGCGAGGAGTCGTTTCAGTCTAATTTTACTGGGCACCGAAATTGAAACTACACCCATGGAATACGAAATGTGAGAGAAACCCTGAGGTTTTCGTGTATTTCTCCTTATTGCTAGAGATTGGTTGACATCTTTAAAGGATTTCCACTCCACCTCTGTAACCTTTTTAAATCGGGAAGGTGCTGTTCTGTTGGCAGGTGATTGATGAGGGGTGGGGGGTGGGGGTCACTCCGGACTGGCTGCCCGGGGGTGGGAAACTGGGGTCAGCACTCGGCAAGTTCTTCCTCAATGTCTTGTGCTGATTTCATTTCAATTATTGATGACAAATCCAGAGTAGAAATAAATCTGTATACTTCCTCGTCTGACATATCTTGGTGATTGGGTAATTCCAGCTCAAACGTTATTGTGACATCGTTCAGCTGACAGCTAAGTTGTCTTGGGACGTTCATTTTAACGGATTATCAGACGACAGTGTAACTGCCGTTAACGCTGATGTGTGGACTTTTTTGAAATATTTATTTACAGCATGCAAATTATGTATTCATAGTACATAAATAACACAGACATTTACATATATTTGGGTTAAAATTCAAGTTTATTTATAGATGTAAGAATTAAGCATATAGGTAGGTCAGTCGTTCCAGGTGGGTAATCTTTGTAGTTTATCGCAGTGTGATCAGGTTACTATGTTTTACACCAGTCCCACGTGCTGAGATTCTATGAACACCTGTGTTATGCACTTATGAATGTAATTTTTGTAAATGGGTCTAAGCATACAGAATGTAAATATTACATAATAACAGGTAACATTGGAGTATACCTCGTAACATTACAGTATACCCTGTAACATTACATTATACCATTTAACATTACAGTATACTCCGTAACATTACAGTATACCCCGTAACATTACAGTATACTCCGTAACATTACAGTATACCCCGTAACATTACAGTATACTCCGTAACATTACAGTATACCGCGTAACATTACAGTGTACCCCGTGACATTACAGTATACTCCGTAACATTACAGTATACGCCGTAACATTACAGTATACCCCGTAACATTACAGTTTACCTAGTAACATTACAATATACCCCGTAACATTACAGTATACCCCGTGACATTACAGTATATCGCGTAACATTACAGTATACCGCGTATCATTACAGTATACCCCGTGACATTACAGTTTACCTAGTAACATTACAGTATACCGCGTAACATTACAGTATACCCCGTAACATTACAGTATATCGCGTAACATTACAATATATCTCGTATCATTACAGTATACCTGGTTACATTACAGTTTACGTCGTAACAGTGTATGCCATCTTAAGTGTATTTCTGCCTGACTTGACTAAAATATTTTCTCAAACACTGGAGTATATATTTCTGAACATATTCTTCAGGTTGGTAAATATGGATTATGAGAAGTTCTTTTTACAAAACCAATAAGATTTTCAATGTGACGTTTCGATGACTAGTACGACATGTACACTGTCACCTTCAGCTAACACATGACAAGTGAAGCGTATGGACACAACGATGTAAAATGTGTACGCGTTGTCCACGGAATGTACAAAACAACTTTTGTACGTAGCCGAATCGACTCGATTTGGTGGACAACTCTTACACATTTTACACTCATAAAACTGTAATATGCAAATGAGATGCAGTTCAATAGGCACTATTTTGAGGTTTCGCCAATAGTTTTACCGAATGCTAAACTTTAAAGATCTAACACCTTTAATTAAGTATGACTTATAGACTATAAAAAACATTAATGTACCTACCAAAGACCTGAACTTCACATAATTCCAGAACAGCATCGTCACTATACCAGTCGTGTCGTTTTGGTTCCTCTCTGTGATTGTAGACAGTCACATACTGAGCTACGTATGGACACTGGTGGGTCGGGTTTAAGTCTACGTCTTCACGTGAACTACTGTTATCCTGATAGCAGAGAATGCCTTCTATGTGGTTGGTGGAGTTGGACACGTACAGTGAATATCCACCGAATCGGTATCCACCGCCGGCTATAAAACAAATTATAAAACAAAGTCATAAATGCAATAAATCTCAAACAAATTCACTATTTTAATTTCGGCAGTGTATTTATTGAAATACAAACTTGTTTAAATGTAATTTATACAGGCGGACTTTCTATAATTTTACATTTTAATCTTTATTTACGGAAGGCGGTATGTTTGGTTATGAGTGACGTGGTCCGACCGATCACTTGCGCGCATAAATATGTTGCTTAATTAAGATCACTATAAATATAAACGACGCAGCAGTTTCTATTCAGAAGCTGATAATAGAATATGGCGGAACAATGTTCGTACGATCAAGGTCAATTATAAGTCAACTTAATGTTTTGTATTGTTTTATTTGAAGACAGATTGTATTATATCAAAGATATTTTTTCCCACACCCATCCCCTCCTTTCCTCCTTTCTTGATAAGACTTTCTTAACGTACATAGCTTTATATAAGAGTGTATATTTGTTTGATTTTCCAACGCAACTGTTAGGCAATGCATCGATAGTACATCATTCATTTTGTGTATGATGTACAATGTATATTTAGTGGCGGAATAGGACCCCCATCTATGACTTTTTAGATTTATTTATATGACAAAATGTTAACTTCATAACAACCGTCGTTTAATGTAATAAACGGCCATATTCAATTCAGATTTTGTGTTCATGTTTTATTTCATTAAGCCTGTCTTACCAGCTTGTCAAGGTAAATATCCTATATAAATATGTATAATATATACACAGAACACATAACCTTTGACTATTTCAGAATATTCTGAAACATAATGACAATTTTCAAAACATTAATTTTTCAATAAATTGTATGTGGTTTATGCTAACGTATGTACAATGCACTAAAATATTGTCAAAGCTTCATAAGTCGAAACATGTTCACCTTAAATACGTTCCAAATGTCAAATGAATATGTCAGCCTGAAACATTAATATTACAAATAAATGAAAACGTTCTTCCAACAAAGTTGTACGATCACCGGCAGTCGATCAATCCTTCCTAATCACCAGATGCCAGTAACAATTAGTGAAATCAAACATTATATACATTGTGTATTCGGTCGATATTTCTTGTTATCTTATGTGGGTAGCCAAGTAATGCTAATTCACAAAACCGGAGAGTAGCGAAACTTATGATAATTTGAATCGTAATAAATTCTTCACACAACATCTGACCGATTTAATCAGATTCCACAACAACTTACTTCTGTAGTATATGGTGATGTATTGTATTGTTCTGTTATGTCCTAAATCCACACGCCACCAAGCTTGTTTGTTATTCTTGTCAGCTGTATGAGCACAACAATGAGGTGAAGGTCCAATCACTTGAATGGTGCATTCGTCTATAGCTTTATCTGCTGTCCATGTATCGCCCTGATCTGTTGATTGTACAGCACTTCCCGTTAAAGCAACATTTCCTGAAGGTCAAAAAGAAACTCTTATTTCTGGTGATTTTACAAAAGTTAAAATTTGAATCAAAAGTAACACTTTCTTTTTTAACTTTGAGTAAAATTCAATAAATAAGAGGTTAAGTTGTGACATCGAACAACTTTAAAAGATGTGCTTCGTATGATGTGTACACTATAAAAATAGATAAATAAAAGATAAGTGAGCGATTCGTTCGCTTTGCATGACTAAGCGTACGAAGGACGAAATAAACGAACGATGTGCGATAGGTTTCGTGGTTGATATGACTTTCGGAATAATCTTTGAATAAATGTGTGGTGAGATATCGTTTTATAATCTCTATTTTCATGATTTTTAAGTTTATCGACATATATGTCATGATTTATTATTTTGCAACGTCCTAGATCGACACGTGTGAATAAAAGGCCTTAACACAAACAGATGTTTTATCAAATGACATACAAACAAAGAAACCTTAAACCGAATGTCCTATTGAGAATGAGTTGCATGTACGTCACTAACTTAAAAAGCTGAATAATCATCATATTTTCATTAAAATAATATCTATCTTCATAATCTTCATCTTTATCATCATCATCATCATCATCATCATCATCATCATCATCGTCATAAAAATCATTATCACCATCATTATCATCTCTTGATCATCATTCATAATTAGCAAGAACACTATTGTGAAAATTTGCGAACAAGCAAAGAAGTCTGATTTTTACAAGTACACAGACAGACAGACAGACAAACAGAGTTTAGATATGTATTTTTTTGCGGTTTGAAATATATTTTTGAACAGAATAGTGGTTATGTATGATTTTAACAAGAGTATTAATATTTAAGACTTATGCAAACATCTTGTTTCGTAAATGTAGTGTTTGATTATTAAATCATTTCATTATCAACTCTGAAACTAGTGCTATTGTTATTTGTAATTCCAAATAAAAAAAGATTGTTTGTTGATAGAAAAAGGTTTAAAAAACGTATCAGTTAGTTTCTCTAAAATTTAAAAAAGTGTTTGGACTTCTTGGCATTCCCAAAGAAGCTGAGTGATTGATTCGCTTTCACAGTAACATACATAACATAATGGACTGATGACTAACTTTGCTTTAAAAAGTCTGGAATTAGTAGTAAGAAAGTGATGAGATATCCTGCACTGAAGCCACTGACGTTTAGTAGTTTGTGTTACCTAAAATGGCATTTTATAAAATATTCCTCAGTCTCTGTTGATTAGTTCGAACTGTTCCCCCACTTGCCTTTACCATAGGGTTCTCTCAAAGTTTATTTCAAAATATAACAAAAATCAGTCGATGCTTTGAAATGTTTTAGATAATCTGTATATGAAAATGTATAATTGGTCGCACTGCGGTAGACTCTACAGGCAATTGATCTGATTTTTAACAGAAGATATTATCCCTTGGTATTTAAGAAAATTGTTTGTCACATAGGATGTCTGCAGAAAATCTTCAAAGGTGAAAAACGTATCATGTTATCAGCCTTTAGCAAGTCAGTATAGTCCTTACTCCTTTTGTATACCATTGTTTGTATAAAAAAAAGATTTCCTGATATAGTTATATTTGTATTGAACCAGAGAGGTATTTCTATCACTGACTTCTCTCGTCTGATAGTCATTTCTTTTGAAATATTTAATTGATACCATGCTTTAAAAATGTCTTTCCGAAATTTATTATTACATGCATTTTGACAATATTGTACATACTCACCTCCAATGTTATGTAGAAAATCTGTGTTTACACAAGTTCTTAATATTGAGAACCATTTACCTGGTAAATGATAAAATCTTCTAACCCAACCAAACTTCAATAATTCTGCAAAACCCCTTATATTAGCCGTTTTTAATCCACCATCAATAGTAATGTTTTTTAACTTTGTCAACTTAACTATTCCACAAAAATTAAAATAAAATGGAATCAATTTAGTTTAACTTCTTTTCATCGTGGTTTGGTACAGCTTTACAAAGGTGATTAAATTGTGAACTCAACAGGGATTTAGTTACATGTATTTTTCCCTATTGGTGTCATGTTTTTCTTTTCCGTGTTTACAGAAGAGCTTTTAGTTTTACTTTCTTCTGGTCATGATTAATTTTAGGTATAGCGTGTAGGTTAACATCAAATTCTACCCCTCATATATTAAATCTTTCCTGTCCCCACTGTAAATTCATCTCTGGCATAAATGTGTCCTGACTATACTTCTTACTTTTAAGCCCAAATATACTTACATACATATCAAATTCTTTTAAAGATTCAGATAATGTCTGTTAAGATCCATCTAACATGAGAAAAGTGTCATAAGCGTATTGAGAGAGAGGACAGGAAGTTCACCAGTTTTAATACCATTTCTTTTTTTGTTATTTCGTATTCTAATAGCTAAGACTTCAGTACAAAATATAAAGATATAGGGAGCGATTGTATCGCCCTGTCTACAGTCACTTTTTGTGTCGAAAAATGTAGATAGATTGCTCACTGATTAATTGAAGTTGATGCATTTCTATGAAAGTTTTTAACCAGGAGAGAAGATCATTTCTTAATCCAAAATAAATAAAAACCTTTTCAATAAAATTCTAAGATGCTGAGTCGAAGGCTTTTTATAGTTTATGATCAAAATCATACCTGGTATATTATTTTCTTCTGTGAATTGTATCGAATCATACAGTAACCTTGTGTGTTTCCCAAGGTAACGTCCTGATAGAACCCTAGTTTGGTAAATATTATTTGGTTTGTCTAACACTGACTCAAATATATGAGAAATAAACTCAGATGCTATTTTATATGTTATATTTAGTAAGAAAAATTTGGCGCCATTTCTTTAGAAAGTGTCCAGGTTTATCCCCTCTGGGTAGACAGGTGACGTTAGCTTGTCGCTGAGTAACTGATAACTGTCCATGTAAATATCCATAATTTAAAGACCTAACAACAACATTTCTGAATTGATTCAAGAAAAAAAATCTGCAGTAAAACCATCTGATCCCGGACTTGTATTGTTTTTCATAATCTTCAGAAATGGACTAGCTTCTTCAAATGAGATAACATCCTCAAAATTTTGGGCTTTTGCAACAGTAAGTTTGGGAATATTGTCAAAATTAAGATACCTTCCAAATTTATATGTGCTATATTGCCATTTTTTCATATAGATTTTCATAAAATGACTAAACATTTTCCAAAATTTCTTTTTGTTTTATTGCATTGGATCCTTCATTTGTCTGATTTTGGGAATTATTTTGTAAGTATAATTTCGATTTTCCAAACCAAAAAGGTAACTTGTCGGTTTTTCGCCTTCTTCTATCCACTGTGCTCTTGATCTCATTATACTACCTTTCAGTATTAGTATTCTGATTTGTTCTGATTCCCTTCTTAGTTTCTATCTCATCTAAATTGATATCTAAATTTCTATCTCATCTAAATTTTTAGTTCATTTTCCCTCACATTTCTTTGCTATTTTTTTTATATAAGAAGAATGAGATTTACTCTTACCACTGATATTCATCAAAAAGGACCTCTAACATAATTGATCATTAATAGTCAACTGCAAGTCGACATCCAAAAGTTCGTCTATATGCTCATGATCATAAACAGGTAAATAGTACTGTTTTTTTTTGTATCCAAGTTGACAGTTTTTACCAAATCTATATATTCTCAGTCAAATTAATGAGTTGTTAAATTTCCATAAGCCTTTATCTTTTTTGAATTCATTAAACTAAAGAGAAATGTTTGGAAAGGAATGATCTGATCTATATCCGGGTTCTTTAGTAGCAGTTTTGAGACTAGATAAAAGAATGTCAGAGGTAGAAAAGAAACCCAGCCTTGACAGCTTAAGTGGGGTTTATACCCTCCAAGTTCATCTTCTTTGGTTTGGATAATACTGTTTATAGATGTCAATAAAGTTTTCCTGGTCTATTATTTGTAAGAGTTTTCCTCGTGCATGGGGATTATGAGTTTTTTGTAAGTACCATCATAGTCAATATCACAGTTAAAAACTAGATTAAAGTCTCCACATGCTAATGTTCATGTTAACTCTCATTTGTATTCGATGTATGTTGGGAGAAAAACACTACAGTACTTATGTTTATTGTTTTTAATATGCGACGCTAAATATAATGGTTTTTTTTTGTATCTTGCTTTGATAGAATGATGCTATCAACCCGTATCTTTAACATTGATACATTTACAGATCTTTATTAGCACCGACACCACTGAAGAGGACTTAATAACCGACAAGAAATACTCTGTTCAAGTCAAGTTTAGTAATATGATCCTCATCCTAGATTTTCTTGCTAACCATGTTCATGACAATCTTATAACTACCATATACTAATGCACACGGCTGTCGAACAGTTTTCGGTCAATGTAATATTTTTGACATCAAAATTAGATACTCAGCAGAAATATAACTACCGTATTATCTTTTTCTGTCTTGAGATAAATGTTTTGATTTTTTTTTAAGCATACGATAATAAAAAAATGTACTATCTTAAATGACTAACTGCTTATTTTTTGTAGTTTTCTTTTGTGTTTATAAATATTTTATTTTGACACTTCTAAAAGCATGTTTTGTTTTTTCTTTCATACATAACGCTTTTACATTACATTGAAAGTGTACACATGTTTTACGTATTTTTACGAATACGAATTTTTTACTGTTTGCCAGATAAGTTATTTAGTTTGCATTTGTGGGGACTGTTTAGATAATATTAGAATGAGTAGAACATCAAAACGGGGTTCATTTTGTGAATAGTCTTTATAAAACCCGAAAGCATCAACATAACATTTTGTATATCGAATTACTTGTTCGTATTAAGCATTATATTAAGCAACGAATTACGTATCAAGAACACAAAAGCTAATCAGAGTTGCCTAGAACACTGTGTCAATGCACTTATAAATCTGTACATAAAGTGGAACAGTAATTCTACTTTTCTAATCCATGCTGCGTATTACTGTTCACAATTATGCTAACTTATTAATTAATTATAAGATATTTGCATGTTTGCATGACAAGTTGTACAAAACAACTAAATTATGTGGTAGAAAATAATGTTAACATAATTTAAGTCAACTTGATAAAGAAATTGATATTTGTGTCGACAGTTACAAATCAAATACCAACAATCTAACGAATCACACGTACACAAGTCTATAGTAGGTTGAAAGTATGTATATATCATATAGATACCAATACGACACAATAACAATTAAACTATAAACGGCATATCAGCAAGGAACTAGTTGGATTCACGTATATTCAGACAAGGCAATTATAACACCATTTATGAAGTAGTTCGTAAATTCGTCAGGTTAGACTTAAATTTCCTGCTTTTTCGTGTTTCCGAGGGAGGACAATAAAATCTAACTGTTAGCCTAATAATAACTCTCACTCTAGGATAGGTTCACTTACATTCCCTCCTAATAATTCCCTTTAAACAATTGTACACCTCCAAGAGCATCTGGTCAGAGCTCACTTAATCCCGCCCTCCCCCCCCCCAGTAAACAATTGTATATATCTACTTATGTTTGCTACTGACATTACTTTGTCAAAAAGACATCTTATGTACCTTACATTTCTCTAAATTTTATTGAAAGTTCACAGATAGAACACGACAGGATCAGTAATTTGCTTGTCGACAGGATACATCTGTCGCGACAATCCGGAAGAGTCTCCTAAGAGTCGAACCAACGATGACATGTACATCTATACTGAAGCGGGCGTGTCTAAAGGACACAAGGGAGTTAATCATCGTTATATTAATGTTTTCATGTTTGTGACATGGAGAGGCATTAATGTCGAAATATTATTAAAAACTCTCCAAAATGTTAACACTTATGCAAATATAAGATATATATGTAATATAAACAGTGAGTTTGGATATCATGTAAAGAAATTACACCACTCATGCACAATCGCTGATATACCAAGGCAGTCATTAAACTATACAATATTAATATCTGTACCTATACAGAATCGTATAGGTACACTAACAATATATGTGTCTTACGTTCATCGTTCTATTCATGAAATTATAAAAAAATGAAAAAATCGAATAAATGCTTACTTTCGGATCTTGAAACCGGTACAGTAAACAGTAGGATAAGTAATATCCCCCAACTCCGTAAGCTTTGTCTGGTCGACATGACAGTCGGCTGTTACACACTGTAGTGGGAAGACAACCAGGAAGTATAATTATACTGACAGTCTACCTGTGGTGGACATAACTCTTGTCAGCTGACATGAGCAAACGCTTTTCATTTGATGAAAAGAGGAAAAACCAGTTTACACTATTGACAGTATTCTATTGAAACTTGAAGGTAAATAGAGATCAACCGTTGTTCTACTGACAGTAATGTATTGCAACTTTAAGTTGAATACATACTTTCTTTAAAGAAAAGGAAATGGTGAAATTCAATCTTTAAATTAACAATTATCCAATATAAAGGACATTTAAATATGCTAGAGGAGTGCGGTTTAGTTGAAAAACCACAAACCACTAACCAAATATCGTATTTACACTACCTGTCATTATAAGGGACGTATTAAGAATGAACACACAAACAGGGAACTAGAGGATTACTCCATCTTATATGTTTGATCTGTTACACCAGCATTAACGCAAAACAAAATAATATATAACAAAATATTGATAATTAAACATAATTAATATAACAATTTCCCTTATATATAATTACACTTCCATTGTTTTATTCTACTTGAAAAGACTATATTACATACCATAAATTGACCATAACTGTTCAATGATCAATCATAAATTTAGACTCTCAACTTGACAATTCAAACAGGGATTGTGACTTCATGATGTTGAGAAAATCTGTTATCGTAAACTGTACAAATGCAATTTTATTGGAAACCACTGACCTGTATTGTTAAAGCCCACAACTCTTTATTGACTGAACTGGTAATAGTATGTGCGTGTATAAAGACCGTGCGGAAAACACTGTAGTATGCATTGCGTTGGCAGTCAAACAGTTCATGTAAGTTCTTTATTATATACCGGGATTTTGGAATTCTAATATATCAAACTGATCGTATTCAAGCTATTATGCTAGCTAAATGTTGATACATTGATATCGGTCATACGATCTACACCAGACTTGGAAAGGTGGAATGCGAAAAAATCACTCCGGCTGTGTTTGTTTCATAAACGCCAATAGTATTTAGTGCAATGGGCACCTAGACTTACTAAAGTTCGTCTAAATCGTACAATATGTAAACATGAAGCATTCTTCTTGTCCCACTTTCCAACTGTACACGTTTCCTTACGAACTAGGCACACTGCATTTGTTTTTATATTTGTTTTTGCATGATATCTCATGTTATATCCAAGTATTATATTTCATAACATAAATAATCAGTTATGTAAGAAGCGCAAGCACGGACGTACACGTAGATGTATTCAGTAATAAGTAACCTGGACACACTAGTTCCACAGACTTCACTAGCCTATATCATTAAACAATAAACATGAGCAAAACAGAATAGAGTATCATTGATGTACGTGTTATACAGGCTATACTCTTTTGGAAGTACACATCACAGTAGACTAATGGGAAAGTGTCTGTCTCGGAAATAATTTCACAGTTGGTGGTAAACAGCTAAACATTATAACTATTACAAAATGCATCCTGATAAACATGTTTAGAGAATGGCTGTTACAACTAAAAGTCACTAACAGAGAGATATGTCACGAAATTCCTGTTCGTAATGTATCATGTTTATGTATGATCGATAAGTCATACTATGTGATAATACCTCCTACCTCCCTATAAACATTTACAAGCATGCCATATTAATATCTTTTGATATATATTATTTTTCTCTGGTTTATTTGTCCGGTTTGAAACGCTAACATTGGTTCAATTTTAGAATACATTTAGTAATCGAAGCATTCGTAGTGTAGGCACGTCGCTATCTGTGTATACGTGTGTATGGTACAATGCACACGGGTACATGTGTAAGGTTGTGTGACTGTGTTTAGTACACACAAATGGGATGTATAAGGCTGTGGAGATAGCTGTGTTAGTTCTATATTTGTATATCGGTGTGTACCAGCACGGACTTGGTTTATATATAAGTTCGAGGTTCCAGGTAGCGGGTGTATGCACATTAGAAATAACACGATCTTAACAAGTCCAAATTAAATCCTGTGCTCACCTAATCTAACCTCCACAAATGATGTATAAAGTGTATCATATAATTGGTATTTTTATTTTCCTATATATTCCAAATCATACTACCTATGCATCGTCCAATATATTATTTTTGTTGTCAGTCGTTCAATCCATTTCTGACTATTCATGTAAATTTAGCATACGTTTTTTTTTGTACGGAATGGATGTTTTTTTTTTAAATTGGCTGTGCGTAATGAAAACGAGAAGTTAAATGAAATAATAACATGATACATTGATGTGCAGTTATGCTAACTACTTACAGACTACTTCAGACATGTAATTTTTCAATGTCCTGTAACTCCGCATACAATGATATTAATATTAAAGAAGGTTCATATGGCTTCCGCATTTGTTTTACTTTTACGTATTATTTCAAACATATATGATTCAGGACGCATATTGCGATTTAACGTAAGCTAAAAACACATGGTTAAATTATATCATTTTTATAAACGTTTATTAGTCATATTCACAGGTCGTTATGCAAAGTGATCACAATAGGCGTATTGGTAAACACTTTCTAATGAAATGGACCAATTTTAACCAAACTTTCCAGATATGATCATTACCACCTGAGGTTGTGCGTTCTGGTATTATTTTCCCTTTCCTACCATTTTTTACGAAGTTATGGCCCCTGGTTGAAAAAAACCTGACACGTTTTGTCCGGACAACACCTTCTAAAGTTACGGATCGATTTCAACAAATTCCCCAGATATGATAACTACTACCTGGAATTGTGGATCCAGGTAATATATTTACATTCTGACCCCTTTTTTTTACAAAGTTATGGCCATTTGTTGAAAAAAATTATCCGGACAACACCTCCAAAACTACATGGCCAATTACAACAAAAGATTTCAGAAATGATAACGATCACCTGCTATTGTGCATCCAGGTGTTATTTGTTTTAATCCTACGGAGTAATGTCCCTTTGTTGAAAAAAAAACCTGTTTCTGCCCCCTAAACTACTGGGCAAAATTCAATGAAAGTTTACAGATATGGTAATAACCCCCTGATGTCATGCATTAGGGTAGTGGTTTTTCCATCTCAACCCTTTTTAAGGAGTTAAGGCCCTTTGTTAAAAATCCTTGTTCTGACATCTCGTCCTTAACAACCAGGATGATTTCAGCAGAACTCTCGTTCTTCTTGGCTAACAGGATTTGGTTTGCAAGTTGTGGCATTAGGTGGGAGTACAGGAAGCATGTGAGTAACCTGCATACTTAAATAAGTGTACAGCTCAGTCAATGAAGAAATCATTACTGGTTGGAGACTATGGATTGCGTGCAATACGTTGCCTTAGTAAGCTTTAGCTTACAGTTTTGGTTTATGTAGGGGGGAGGTTGTGGAAGTTTGCCTTTGGCTTACAGTTCTACTTTATGGGGTAACTAGTTGCATTTGTGAACAAACTGTTCACACAATCATATGTTTTCTACATTTCGCCATAATGGACATTTTTTCTACATCCTGTTATATCCCTCCGCGAATCCAAAAATCTTTGCAAAACATCAATCAAACTGATATTGTAGTCTCAAAATGATAACAATAATTGTATCATAGAAATATGCAATATTTTACTTAAATGCTCAAAAAGTATACAACTGACACACTTGTAGTTCTTCGGAAGAGGAGTATATACAATAGCACATATGTAGTTGGACACATCCGGTAATCAACCAAGGACAGGTCCATTTGCAAGCAGGTACAATTTACACATAAATACATGTATTATCATTACGTTCGAGATCCTTGTATATTTTGCAATATATGCTGCATATATTATCATTTAGCTAGTCGATCGCAGATAGTCAGTTCCTTATCGCTCCTATAACACTTTTTATAATGTGTTTGTTTTGTGTTAAACGTATCAGATCAACATTTTCTCACGTGGTTACAAGCATTGGTTTGGGGTCCGACAACTTTCTCGCTGTATGGACTAAGTGACCTCCTGTAGTAACGGAAATCCACCACATTCATTTGTGTGGAAACCCGTGAGAACTGCCAACAATACAGATGAAAAATACAACGGTGTCTAAGGCAAAAGCATCAGGTAAACACAAGTTGATTGGTCGAGCGGAGTTCAGTATGCAAACGTGTGATTCTTATAAAATTTAGTAACTGACTGAATCATAACATTTTATTTCACATTTAGATTTTACATTATTTAATTGGTGCAAGACCTTCTTCTGATTTATATGTTTGAAAAACAATAATTTATTTCTCAATAATTTGGCATGCTTTGATGCTATAAAGTAATGGAGAAATTAATGCAATATATAATTCTAAAAACTATTTCCAGGTAAAAACAAAAGAACCTTCTGCTCAAAGTGTTCGCACATCAGGAAGGCGCCGAGTTAAATCTGTCGGACGGACTATTATCCATAGATACAATAGTGAAAGAACAGGTACACAGTTGTTCAGTTTATGTTTTATATTTACTGGACTGTGTTAATGACAAAAATGTATTCCATGATAAACATATAAACCCCTTGATTTACATGTGCCATACCCAAAGGTCAGCCCCGGTTTCCGTCTGTGACTGTGCTTTCTTTTTTGGTTCAACTTGTTGAAACAGTTGAAGCTGATCAAAGCAAAACCCCATGCTCAGCTTTGAATTTTACACAGCCACTGTTTATTTCAAAGTAATTGAAGTCCTTGCACTAACAATAGAAAGTGCACTGCAGCAGGTAATTTTCACACCTATAACAGAGGTTTAATTTCAACAACGAATTTTCTAATAACCGTATACAAGTATATGTGATTCACTGGACAATTCACTCTGATGTTGAATACGTGAACAAGGCATAACAAACTGTTTTTTTTTTACTATTGTTAAAAAGAGAAAGAAGATTTAAAATTAATGTCAGTCGGGTTATCAAAAACATAATTTCCAGGCCTTGCACCAAGGAAAACATTTGATAATCAGCATGGGTTTAAGTATTCTACAACAGTGTGTATATTTCACTAAATTCATTTGAATGAAATATAGTCAAGATAACTGAAATCTCAGAGCATATAATCAGTCAATCTTTATAATGAAGCTTATTAACGTTATTTTTACTTATGTTTTGTTAACTTATATTTTCAGACAACCAACAATTATGGAAGTCATATACTTGATCAGTTGTACAGCTATATGTTTACTGGTGTGAAAAATGTACCTATCACACTTTGTAGATTCTATCTTGATTTCTACACAACAGGTACATTGAACAGAAAAAGCTCATGTCTGCAGATTATCACATGAATTTCATACACGAGGTAACTATATTATTTGGCTTTGCATAATCTGTCAATAGAGATAGCTATTTAAACTATGTTCAATTAATAATTTTGAATTGGGAAGCACAGACACACCTCATGAAAATAAAAAAAAAATTGAAAGAACGAACCTCCGGACAATATTGAAATGCTAGACGTCATGTAAATACCACCCTATATTTATTCATTTATGTGCACATTGCGATACTTATCTTCTTGGTTAATGTACAATGGTGATTGTAAACCGTTTTTGTTTCACAATGATAGCTTATACTGTCATTATATGTTGTAAAGCGCGTTAGATTAATTTATCAAATTATATATGGCGCTATATAAATATTGTATATTATTATCATTATTAACCGTTGAAGAAAAATGGGGCAATAGTTCTTTTAAATATAATCAAAATAAAATTCCGATTTGGAGAGCACAACAGCTCCATGTTTTGTTAACTTAGCCAAGAAGATTTAAAGACGACCACCTTTGAAGAAATCAGGGAGAAAACCCCTGAACAGTTTTTGAAATGAAGATAAAATAAAGGGTGATACCTCTTTTAAAGATTGTCTTAACAATTATCTAAATTGGAAATCGAAACTATATTTGAAGATAATGAAGCTGTCAATGTTTTAAGAGGAATGAGCCAAAACCGAAGGAAATATTGTTTTGCTATTTTCAGCTTTGCAGTTTTGAGCCTCCATAATTTCTGCTTCACTGACTACATGGACTATCTTCTAGCAAACAATGGTTGCCAACTTTGGTCAACAACCATAAAACAATTGTTTCAGTATTTCATTGTAAATGGATTTTGAGTGAACTCCTTTGTAGGTTTTCATAAACTATGGATTAATGAAATTAAATAACATTTTTGTGAAAATGGACTTATTATCTTGTGTAAGCCAGGGATGCAACCATCCAATAAATTTAAATATGATCTCTGAACATTTTTAGTTAAATTTAAAAAAATATTATTGTCTATAAATGATCATTATGTTCTTACGAACATTTTGGTATGTGATAAGGGTATGTTTGTTGTTGCTAAAGTGAAATATTATACTGAGCTATATATGCAAGTAGATGTGCCATATGACTTGTATCTCCCCCTTAATGATAGATGACGACTTGATGTGTTTGCAAAGTATTATGATGATAACATGTATACAGTGCATAATATGTATTTAGAGTTTTAATAGGCTCCATATCCTTGTCTTTTTGCCCTCATTTACAGCACAGCCGTCGTCGTAGTCTCGTAAACATGTGCAGGTTCTCTCTTTAGAGGGTCCAGTTGTTCATAATTTTCATCAACAGTGTTCGTCTGAATAGGTGGTTCCGTGGTATAGGCTCCTATCTTGTCGTATGTATCATCTGAAATATAAGTCGGAAACTAAGAAGATATTTATATGTCAATACGATTTTGTAACCGATTATGTTAGGATTAGCAAGAACATCTACTGAATTTACGTTTTTATTTAGTGTTTGGTTTTAATAGAATCTCTATTCAATATTGATGCCTTTTATTGTGAAGGCAAATATATCGCTTTGTCCCCAATAATTATAAGTAAATACTGGTATTTGTATTCAGTAAACTCGCATTGAGGTATAACCGATAATCCCAAAGGTAAGTACTGATGTTCCACAGAAAGATTTAGTTTTATTTGTTTACAAAATTATCAACAAAAATGATTTTAAAACCAACCCAACCTTGTCCTTTAGTTGCTTCTACATGATGCTTTGGGTGGGGTTTTTTTCTAACGAAACGGTGTAGAGTCGATATAACGGAGCAAGAAAAGGCGATGTATTGGTAAAAATTACAACTGATATTAACTCTGAAAGCGTACCAATTAAATTGAATGATGCCCTCTTCAGTCGTCAAGGCATCGGAATTGAGCATTAAAATCGGTTACATTTGCCATCCTCAAGCATCCAGTTATATGTGCATTCCATAGAAAAGGGGACTAATAGTTAATAGTTTGATGACATTTAAATTTAAAAGATAATGATATATTCAATGAAAAATGAAGGATAATCATAAACGTTACTAAATTTAAGATGTATGAACACTATGTATACACAACTTGTTATAACATAGACATTGGGTTAGACATGATCTGTGACGCTCAAATACTAAAACTTCACAAATACAAATCTACATAAAATATTGTCAGACTCATAACCTCATAACCGGATTAATGTAGTTTGCAAAAATAAAAAAAATAAAAAATGAATGTGAAGTTTTACAGAAAATGATGCGATGTTTATTTTTTATTTTATCAGTTATCACAATTACGTTATCAAAGTTGGCTATTGCTACTGTAATGCCGAATTTAAGATTTTTCTTAAAATTTCATCTAACACAATATTATATAAAATTTGTAAATTATTACTTTAGAAATCTATAATTTGAAGGATGACACAAATCTTTTGCAGACTATCTGAACAAATAAATTATTTTACTTGTACCGTTCAAACATTAAGTCGTTATACAATGAACGATTTCAGATTAAGTAGCATTGTGTCGCAAGGTTCTGTGCCCTAAAATTACAATTTTCCAAAACATAACGAGTTAGAGCAAAATTAATTATAATATAAGTATTTACATTGGTTATCAACAATGATAAGTCTTTAATTTCAGCTTCACTTCTTTTAAGTTTCAATTACAACTTATTCAATCATCCCGTCGTCATTGAACGACGCCAGTGTGTCCCCAGTTTCTGTGTCCGCTATTTACAGCGCACATTGATTTTACTATTATACCACTTCGGTCCATGAATGGAAATATATTAGATTTTGAAATCAATACCAACTGTTTAGCGTAGGTTATATATACGATCGTTCTAGATAAAGAAGGGAATTTACCAAAACATATACCAGGGCACCATACTTTGCGGCGCTGCATGCAGAATCGAAAGTCGCATAATTTCGTTTAGCAGACAATGATGACATATTGCATTTTCAAAAACATCACTTTTTTAGTAACAATGATGTGAATTAACTTGATTTTGCTTAATTTTTTGCTTTTGCTTTCATAACCCTTAAAAAGATGACGTCAAGAAACTTGCGGTAGGGGCTCAGCAAAGCACAAAAGGGCAAGACACATAAACAAGTGCTCTACTGAAACATATCCTCAGATGTTACCTTTGCTACTATGTAACTCATGTTGCCTGACCGACTGAGACAAATCTGCCATACTTGTGGAATTCATGTTGTCTCCTTTGTTCGTTGAGAGACGTCTGACCAATATGATGACCAATACAACCAGAGCCAGAATGACTACCCCAGATCCGATCCCTATTCCGACTGCAATGGTTTTAAAACTGTCTGGCTGTTTCGGACCTTAAATAACAATAAATTACAAATGATAACCTAGCAAATCCTTCAATGCATACATTTTTTTGCATACAAAGTGCAGACGCGCTCGATTCAACTTAATTAACGTAATTCCAATAACCGTAATATAATACCATTACTTTATTGTACCTAGGGTTGTACCAGAAGAGACGTAGTATTAATTACACATAGAAATAAATTCCAGTTTGAATCCAAGTCATCAAAAAGTGTATACGTACAGTACACTGTTATCTTAATATTTATTATGATGTGATGTAAATGATGTCACAATCAATGGGAACAAATCCGAGTACACGGGACATTTTCCCCGGAATATCATAAAGCTGATAATTCCGTTTTATAATTGGTATATTGAAGGTTTCCTTATTCCAACATAACTACTCCAACTGAACCTCTCCGTTGTACATTATAACTAGTTTCAAGCCATTTATCTTTCTAGTGCATATACTACTTATCGAAACAAAATCAACTTGTAATTCCATTTAATCGAGATTTCTGATTGATATCATGGCGACACTTTATATGTTCAACACACGGGTTCCTTTATATCACGTAATAAGACCATCATCAATAGTTCAATAGCTTGAACTTCAAGAAATTACAGTAAACAGCATGAAGCTCGATTTTTAAAAGGGTCCAAAAGATGCAGAATCAATTGTTATTGTCCGTTATCCATTTTATAATTTTATAAAAAGCTTTACTTACCTATACAATGTCCATTGCTCTTCATACAGTTTTTGTCTGTACAGCTGTCAGAGCAATTCAATTCACACATATTCCCATGTTTTCCAAGATTGCATTCTGTTAAACGAATGATTTGTATCTTAAGATGTGTCAATATGATATTTAAAATAATAAATACACTGTTGCATAATGAGACATATTCTAAGAATTAATATTATTTTGTCTCTTTGAAATTGTTCCGGTAATCACATGTCTAGAAATAAACACACCAGTAGGATTTCAATGTAATTTTATATGAACGATGTTTGAATTACATTGGTATGATCACTTATGTTTTATCTGAACAATTGATATGTTATTGCACCTATACAATTAGAAATTGCACTATATCGACATGTGTTATTTACCTAGACAATATCCATTGTCCTTCATGCATGCTTTGTCTTTACAGTTGTCAGAACAATCGAAGTTACAAGTACCACCGTACTTTCCATTAACACATACTAAAACAAACAGATGATTCAGAGTTAGTGCTTGATATATATATATATATATATATATATATATATATATATATATGTTAGTTATAGAGGAATTGCAATTATTTCAATCACAGCTAAAATGCATGCCAAGGTTTTAAATAATCGGGTATCAAAATGGTTAGAAACAAATAAATTACTTGCATATGAACAGAACGATTTTAGAAAGAACAGAAGATGTTTTGACCACCAGTACATATTGTACTCTATTTTGAATAACAGAAAAATCAAGAAAAAATCATCTATCGTATGTTTTGTTGATATGATGAAAGCATTTGATTGTGTGAACAGAGATCTTTTATGGGCTATAAAAGATGCTTTAAATACTATCAAATCATTATATTTTAACAAAAAATGTAAAATTAGAATAAATCGTATTCTAACGCCACCCATGGATGTGGAGCAAGGTCGAAAACAAGGGTGTTATGCCTCGCCAACAATTTTGTCTATGTACATAAATGATTTAGCAAAAGATATTACTGATTTGAAACGTGGTATAGATCGTGTATTATCTCCATACTTCTGTATGCTGATGACATTGCACTCATTGCCCCCGGTGAAAATTCTATGCAACGGATGCTGGATGTTTCAAATAAATCGAGTGCAAAAACTGGAAGATCGAAGTTAATCCAAACAAAACTAACATAGTCCATTTTAGAAATAATTCCACCCCCATTACTGACCATAATTCGCAAGTGTCACACGTCATCGTCCTGTGGTTTTTCGCTACGGATCGTTTACACACACTGCATGGATTTGAGACAGGCCCTGGATTTGAACACTCTCCACAAAGTAAAATGTTTATAATGAGCAGGTATGAAGTAGCCGATTGTTTATATTTATCCATGTTCGTAGAGCTGTGTCGTCGGTCGCCATGTTGGAAAGGCTGACCACTGATCGAGTTTGGGTTTAGCTTGTTTATCGCATAAGTACGATACTTTACTGACATCATGACGGAGATGTTTTTTGAGCAGGTGTTAGGATGCTTTCCGGGGAGATAAATATTCCTCTGAGCATGGTAAAAAAGATCGTATTATGAGAAATATTGCTGTGGTCAGTAGAAGACCGAGTATTCCCGCCATCCTGACTGGAAAAGCTTGTGTGTTTCTGATGTGGGAAACAATTTCTATTGTTTCCTTTGCGTTTGTTATACGTGTCAAGGTCACTCATATATCTTTGTTAATGTTACCCCATTTTTACTGATAAAACGGATCATTTAATTATTTTACTGAGACAGCGTTATGGACATCCGTCTATGGTTTTTAAGTAGGGATCGACAGATACAATGTAGCCATGAGTAGCCACAATTAGCTCTGCTCAATCGTTATTGAGAATGTGTAAGCAAGCACAAACTGCAGATTGTTCAGAGTTTTATTTTATATTTGTTACAACATTGCTAGTTAACGACATGTACATAGTTGTTGTTCATCTGTGATATTTCTAGTCATTTTACCTGTTGATTGTATATATGACCATACCTGTATATCGGGTGCACATTGTTTACATTCGCGCGCACGTGCGTGTGTATTGTTTTAGCTTCATAAGATCAAGGCGATACATATATTTTTAAACCTAGTATTACCTATAACCTATTCCCATTTAATTGCCCATTTTCTAATCTTATTGGTCATTTAGGTAATTGGCATATCATTCAGGTATACGCGTCACGGTTGAGTGAACTGCACTCGTAGATTGCCCTAAACATTAAGGCGGCATGTGCCGTGCTTTTATATTTCTATACAAATATACTCTACTCTACTTAGTAAATGGGAAGACATAGCGTATTAATATGTCTTACAGTTATTGTCATCGTATATACATATGGATAGTAAGAATACTTTACGTATTTGTTACCTTTTAATAACAGTCAGTATAGCTATAGTTAGTAAGTCTATTGTTCATATATTATAGCTCCAACCATGTGTCAATGATAGAAACTAGACACTATTAATCCGGTGAGGGCTGCAACAACCACTAGATGAGGTAGTAGCTATCTTTTATGATAACCGTCCTGTGTGGTCTACATGTTTAGGTTATGTGTGAACCGAGTGCTGTGTGCTGTATAGTTACTGAAGTAGTGAATACTTTTTACGGACTGACCGTGTTCTGTGTGGACACTTTATGTCATTTGGTCTGTACTGTTTATAACGTGAAACATCTCATATGGAGTTTGGTGAGCCTAATAGCACAGGAGCTATGGTCTAGGTCGTCAAGAGGAGAGACGGTCGGGGGACTACAGACCGCGGTGGGCGAGCCTTGTCGTGATCACTGTATCCAGGCAGTGATTTTCTAATAGTGACTGATACATTGACTTTTCCAGCATTGGTATATATTTCACTTGCACGATTTCAGTATTAGTATATATATTTGCTTTGTGTGATTCTTATGTTGCTGTATATACTTACTTTGTGTGAGAGTGATATAGCAATGTTTTATATTACTTAGAAGTAACAAAAACATAGTGTATATTTTGTATATATATTTTTTTATATATTGTTATCAAGTCTTAGTGTTATTCTACACCACACTTGCACTGTCACGATTGTCCATAGTTACAATACGGAAATATGTTTGTCGGTTTGCATGGTCAACAATACATTCGTTTTGTGAAAAAATAAACTGCAAGCCTTGAAAAGAAGCCGTTCTCACCCAACCGTCTATATAACTCCGAGACGGCATTGGAGATAGTCCGACATATTTCATGCGCCTAATATTCATTTAAGCATACTATTTCTATACTATAACTCACAAACTGGTCGTCATATTTCTTGAGAGCAATAGCAATAACGCTTTAGTCACTTTTTCTTTTGAAAATATTTAACGCAGTTTTGACAATTTCTCAAACTTTACTCAGTGATAGAAACAAACACAGTTTAAAATAAGGATAGTAACTTATATCCCGATATAAAGCTTACATTTTATACTTAAAATCAAAGTGATCTATCTGAGAACAAATCGCGTTTTGTTAATAATTGTTGGTTAATACCCCAGTCTAGCTGAACATATGGCTGTTGTGTTTATCTCCCTTGTTACTTTCATTTTCCTGAATGACAATTGTAGAAAGATTTCCATAGCTTTACAATGTAATGTATCGGACCTTTTTGCTAACCCAGATACTTTGTTGGTATGTTTATGGCTTAAGACTTTCTTTGATGCTAGGTATCACACGAAAAGGCACAATCAAGTCAAACGAGACAACATATATGTAATAAGCAGTCTTTTGATACAACACCAGTACCGCTTCAGTGCAATGTTTACTATTTTATACAGTGTCAGCCGTCAATGAATACTTTAATTCTAAGTAAATTAGTGAAATTATCAATAATATGTGTAATCTCATAGAAAACATGATTATTTTTGAGGAATTCTGGGGAGATTAAGTGTATAGCAGATCCTAGTGCTAATATGACCTTTTCTTCCATTTCAATTTTAACGAAAATAGAGGGAAATGAGAACATCTGGTTCCAGTGTCCACTTTTGTTTTATTTCGGATGTCTGCGTTCGGGTTTTAACACGTAACTTGACCTGCATTTACCTCAATATGCATGGCCCATATTTTTATTTTGGTTTACTCGCTGTCTCTAGGATTGTGACAGTTATCATATCTAACTGAAACCGTAGTCATATAGTAACAAAAATAGCATATGAGCTTAATGTCTGTGTTTGCTATTTTGTATATTTAATAATCCATTATTTACTATAATATATGTTGAGCAAATAATGATAAACATCCTAATATAGCATGTCTTCCGAGACGTTTCGGATATGTGTTTCTAATAAGAATGCTATATATTGTATAACAATAGATATATATCTTCTGTTTGAAAACGGCTTATTGAGTGGTTTAAATTGTTGCAAGGCTCTTGATGGTGTGCATTTAAAGTAAATGTTCTATCGAAATTAATATTAGCTATTGATAAAAAGCAAGACATTAATGATCAATTTTTAAACGTGTATTTCAAGACTCATTGTAGTGTTAATATTACAGCAAGATAACAATACTTACCTATACACTGTCCATTGCTTTTCATGCATGTGTTGTCCTTACAGTTGTCTGAGCAATCATTTGTACACTGATCATCGTATTTTCCAGGAATACATTCTGTAAAACAATAAGATTCTTTCAGCTTTTATCAGTAACAGACTTCAATTAACAGATACAATGGTACATGTTTTTCAGTTCCTCTTGAGGACCTAACGATGTTTAACATTATTCGACTGATGTTAATGATAAGCACTTATCTAGTCAAAGCGCGCAGATATGTAATTATAACCATTTATCATACCACTGTCCAAATGTACTTGCATGGTCTCGAAAATATAAGAATTATTCATCTGATACAGAAATCTTTTCCTCTCCCTTTAGAATAAAACATTCCTCTTTGTCAATATCCGCTTAGGCATGCATGAACTGTCTTTGCAGTTTTCAGAGCAGTCAAGGTCAAATATAGCCTACAATCACTTACAATATTCAAATATGTCATGTATGGTGCGGACCTGTTACAAAAGTATCCAAATTGAAATAGATGATAAATGTCCTGATAGTAACAAAATATCAGTTGTCATAAAACATTTGTATTTTTAAATATCAATCATATGGTGCTTTTATATTAGAAATTAAAACATGCCAAGATAACATTTTAGTGTTGATTGTACCGAAGAGACGAAAGCGCTACCAGATTGTAATCGTCAAACTTCAGTTTTGTTTAATTTCATCATTAATCAATTTGAACTCCTGTACTTTTTTATGTACATTTCACGAAATTACTCATGAGATGTGTATATTAGTAAATCATATGTTGATGACAAATCACGCAACACATTTGGCGTTATCAGGGGCACTAAGAACATAGGATAGACGAATCATATCAGCTATGCGTCACCCTAATCTTGAAGAATTCCTTAAATTAATTTCAATACGACAAGGGAAAGTGAATACCCTACATCGTGATCTATAAATAATTGTAAGTAAGAGAATGGATGTTATACAGATCGCCGTAAGATGTTTTTCCGCATATTTTTTTTTAGATATAAACTGACTTGAAATGATTATTGGATGGCTTTTTAATCAAGAGTGTAACATATCTATCATTTACATAAAGGTTGTTATGTGATGCAGCTTCGGTGTAAGGAAATAGTTCTTTCGGATAAAGGATCCCTCACTAAAATTTTAAACAACTTGGACATTTTTTTCATGTTCTGTATTTTTATAATTATGATTTTGGGTACCGCGAGGGTATAAACATGTGCGACTGTACCATAACACTCCGTTGTTTCTGTCACGCCCGTCTTGACAGCTGACTGGACAGGTTTGAGTACACTCGTGTCCATAGAGACCAGGTACGCATTCTAAAAACAGACATTAAACGTTATGATAATCGGTGATAATTATGTTCACTATAATATGAAACGTAACCATGGAAAATTTCTTGGAAGCGAATATTACTTTTTTTATGATTGATTAAGACATAAGTAGTATAATACGGTATAAATCCAAACCCTAAATCTTGCAAGAAAGTAAATAAATTAACTTGTTAACAGCTTTAGCTACTGTATGACCGTTTCTATATTTCTAGACATAAAATGAGCATACATATGATATATATCATGTAACAAAAAACAATCGGTTTGGACAGTTTATAGCATACTTTGAAAAGTAATGCCTCGTTATCGTTTTCATACCTGTACATTTGCCAGAGACCTGAATACACGTTTGGTTTGCACATTTTGCTGCACAAATTTGATAACACTCGCTACCATGAAAGCCGGGGTTACATCCTGCAATAAGACATATTGATCCATTCTGTAGTTTAATGAAGAAATTCTCACTGCTGAACTGAAGTCAGTCAGATGTTTTGAAACGGGACATGTTAATAGTTTGGAGGGTGGGTATATGATTTGTTTTGTTGTTGTTGAAGGTCATCAAAGTGGCTCAATGTATGTAATGTATGCGTCCGTAAGTGCATGCGGGAGGCAGGGTATGTTGATAAATGTATATCCATGCCATAACGCGGACTATATAGTGTTACCTCGCTGAAATTCCATGTCGAAGGCACCCATCATAGTATTCTATCGGGTCACAGCTTAGCAGGGAATGACAACTACCGCTTTAAAGGAATTCGATATGTCCCGGCATGATGACAGAAACCCATTGTCTATCCTACTTGGACAAAGACTCCAAATGTTACAATGAGGCAGCAGACCAATTGTGAGTTCTCCAATGTCGCCTTAGCAGAAGACACAGAAGAACGTTTTTTCACGACATGTAGTGAGATACAACCATCCTATTCTTTCCCCGAGGCTGCAGGGGAGTAGGTTTCAATTAACTTATAATGCAATAACCTCTGTCATTCTACAATGAAACGTCATCCCAAGCTAATTTGATTTACATAACAATATTATGGTCATGCGTGTATGATTCCGTGGTGTGACAGAGACTGGTGACTACAATTTTAGCATGGTATAAAATGTTACACCTTTCAAAAAATGAATAACTGACCATGCAACTACTAGTATCGTTCAGTTGTCCAAATACCAGGTTATTGCCTCCTTTGATTCTTAGTCTGGTTATTTTGGCGTGACAATGATATTCAAATAAATCCCTGATTAAGACTTGGTCTTGTTTTTTATATTTATAACGAGATATTTATGCTCACGTTTAAAACCTCTAGTTGTATAATCAAGTTTATTGTAATTTTAATATTACGAAAATGTAAAACTATTATGAAAACACTTGTGTGTACACTGTCTATTAGTCCCCATCCATGCTTTGTCTTTACAGTTAACAGCATAAAGCTGATTGCAAACTTGATATTCTCTTATGACATTGTTTTAGTAAGCAAGAGTCTTAAAATGAATCATATATTCCATTAAATGCGAAGGAACGATTGAGAGGTGATACAATCATAGGTCTTTATGATATAATGCTTGACTGCATATTTGTCAGATATTTAGAATACAATACTGCCTTTTCAAAATCTGTTTATTACCTAGACAATAGCCATTGTCCTTCATGCATGTTTTTGTCTTTACAGCCGTCAGAACAATCAAGGTCACACGTCACCGTACGAAGGCACGAGAGTTCGAGTCACGGCACGGTACTGTGTTGTATCTTTGAGCAAGATTCTTTACTCCGCATGTTCCAGTCTACTCAGCTGTAAATGAGTACGTGGTTGGGCAATGCTAGAATTGTTGAATGCTAGCTGTTAGCACCGAACTGGCAGCTCCGGCTGTATGCTCCCCATGGAGTTGAAATAGATATTGGTTGATTGCAAAGCTATAATCATGGATAATTATTTGTGAACCACTTTGAGACGACCTACGAACTAGGTCGTGATAAAGCGGTATATAAGAACCTCGAATTATTATTATTTTAATTATTATTAACATATCCGTATATTATAAAACTGATAAAACTACCTTTGCAGTAGGTCATTTTATGATGATGATACCCAATTATTACCTAGGCAATATCCACTGTCCTTCATGCATGATTGGTCTTTACATTTGTCAGAACAATCAAGGTCACACACGTCACCGTACTTTCCATAAACACAGTCTGTAATATAAACACCGGACATTATATCATTAAACTTTCAAAATATGTCACGTATTGTATAAAACATCAAAAGAAAATATCAGTTAACAATTATAAGTGTAAAGGATGCCTTGGTTTTGTGAATATTTAGATTCAAACAGTCGATACTACTGCTTTTTGTAGTTGTGCCTGGTCTGATTGTTTTTTATGTTCTACCTACCTATACAATGCCAATTGTTCTTCATGCATCTTTTGTCTTTACAGGTAACAGAACAATCAGCAGCACAATCATCGCCATATTTTCCAGGGACACATGCTAGAAAGATAGATATTTAGTGACGGAATTAGACTCTGGGTGAAAGTTAGTTTTTCCTTACCTTTTAATATTGCACCAGTAAGAATGTGATTAAACACAAAATGAAACTCCACAGGGGTTTTCAAACTATATGATCGTCATGAAAGATCTGTTTATGTGTTATCATTGAAAGAGATGTTTAGTACTACTTTTTAGATTGCGATTACATTTTATTAAGATTTTCAAATGTTTGTCTTCAAACTTTTCAGACCAGTCATTAATACAATATCAATGTGGTTTGAAAATATAAAACATAAAGAGTTTATTCAATTACACGAGATTGCCAATAGAGTGTATGTAACTGTACTTATATCCGATAAGGTAAACACTAATTACCTAAGCAATATCCGGTTTCCTTCATGCATGATTTGTCCTTACAGTTGTCATAACAGTCAATGCCACACACGTCACTGACTTTCCATTAACAAATTCTGTAATCTATATAACATTGCATTACTAACATTTTTGTTTTGTGCAAAACACATTTTAAAATATCAACATACAAATACGACTGTCGGGAATGTGTATCCTGAACAGTTGTAATAGAACGTGAACTTCAGGCCACTCTTCCAAAATATTCGGTTCATTTTCCTGCAATGTCGAAAAAACAAGAGTGACTTTTAAAAGAGTCCAAAAGTTACAGAACTAATTGTTATTGTCACGTTATCCATTTTATAATTAAATAATCTCATCTTTCTATGACAAATTTAATAACTTTCTCTTTGTCTTAAAGCTGTTCTTCTGTTAATTGCTCCTTAAGTGTTTATTGCAAGTTTTTACAAATAAATGAACATGAAGGAAATTATTTTATACCTGTATGGAAACCATATGAAAGACCTTAAATAAGATCTGAAACAAAATCTTGATCCGGATGAAGGCGTTTGGAGTTCAGAGCAACTTTGTTGATTGGTGTACTTGATTGTAGTCACTGCGTTGTTTCTTTCTTAGCCTTTGCATCTTTAAAAAGAACATGTTTGTAGGGGCATGGTGACCTAGTACATTCCTTGTCATTGAAGTTGTTACAAACTTCCTGTCCACCAAGACTGATCCTGAGTCTACCTTGCATATCAATACACTGGCTAGATTTGCTCGAAGGTGCTTGCTGTGCTGTCTGTTGATTTTTGTTACGACCTTCTGGTTTGCCAGCATTGGGAAGAAGTTAGACAAATGGCCACTGCTATGACACACTGAGCATGTGTTGGTAAGATGGCCTGCGCATACAGTAGTGTATATATTATTGTCTCGGTTACCCCAGTTGACCTGTATATCCTTATTTAGATAACGGGCAGCAGAACTCATAGAACAATGTACCAGGGTTATTACACGAAATGTCAATAATATCCTTCTCGTATTGATCGAGTTCAGTTCTTCTATAACGGTACACTTCACACATAACAGACTTGTAAAATGAAAAAA